TGATTATTATTATTATTATTATTATTATTATTATTATTATTATTATTATTATTATTATTACTATTATTATTATTATTATTATAAAAATTTGGTCAGGTTGGAATAAAATTTGGTCGGGTTAGAGTAGAAGTAATATGAAATAAGAAATGAGTCAATAGAAAACCAATGTTTTAATGTAGCATGCATGTAATCAAGTGAGGCTCCATCTGATGTGATTGCCACTTGGACCGAGCTCCACGTTATTATTATTATTATTATTATCATTTATTGAAAGGAAACAAATAACTACACTACAATATCAATGAACACAACTGAATGCTAAAATCTATCTACTACCAGTACTGTCTACTACATGTACTGTCTCTACTTGTTCAAACACAGTTTATTTAAAGGAAGGCTCCAGCCAATGCAAGTATCATCAAAGATACTGCAACAATAGGTGTAGCAATTATTCCTGTAGTACTTGATTCTGTAGTGTTTGATGGTATAGTACTTGATGGTATAGCACTTGATAGCCCAGTACAAGCATCAGGGACACTCACTCCACATGAACGGACACCAGATCCAAGGAATGGCTCAGTACAGCAACCTGCTGTACTGCTAAAGGTCCTCAATGCACTAGTACAGTTGGTACTGTTGCATGATGTTAACCCAGTATTGCTAAATGATATTGAACAATACGTAATCATATTCCTATAAGCAGCTATGTTAGATGTTGTTCTAAAGCTGCGTAGTATTCTTACTAGACAATAGTCCCCACTCTCCTGACCACAGAAGAATTTCTCATAATCATTAGCCAAGTATTCTCCTCTATCCCCAGAATAAAGACAACGGTAATATTCACCAATAGCACCAGCACAATCACTGGTACATATACGTGAGTATTGACTATTGAGGCTGCTGAGGTATGAGTCACTATGTATTGATGATGCCGAAGGTACTGAAAAAACGAACTCTGATTCAGAGCAACCTGAAGGAAGATCAGGCATTGTGCAGCTACTAGTCTGCTTAGGCTCCAGTGGTATATTGTGCCTCTTGTTAATGTGGTGGAGTAATTGAAGCAAAGCAGTGTCATTCATTTCTTTCTCTTTATCAATGACAGCTCCTTCAGTGCATGCAGCAATGAGGAATAGGCAGACCAGAAACATTGATGGGGACATGTTTCAGATAGTGTAGATGCTTCTCTTGACAGATAAAGAGAAGACAGCTCCTTTTATAAGATTCTAGCAATGGGGTAGGAATGAATTTTTAGTTTGGAGGGGGCTGAACTCCAAAAACCACTATTAAACTAATTTATTGGATTAGCAGCTATACAAATATGGATACTGCTGCTGGGGGTCCACTTTTAAAAAGGTTCTTGCCCCCTGTTGGCCTATTCCAAGATTAGTAAATTCATACTTTTACAATATGCAATGTGAAAAATGTCAAAAAGTACACAATAAGTAATTTGTAGACAAACACAGAATCATTTTCTGTTACAAGACTTGTTTGTTGCTTCAACCACTAATTGAGTGATGTAGTCATTAAAACACATAATGAATGCAGTACTAAAGCTTCTTTGCTTAGCAGAGGCTATAAACTAATGCTATTTTATTACTATTGTCATTAGTAGTAGTAGTAGTAGTCAGGGGCGTAGCCAGGGGGGGAGCAAGGGGAGCAAATGCCCCCCTTTTTTTGAAATCAAAATTTAAAAATAATAAAATAATAAGCTACTTTTGGAAGGAAAATCTGTTTTACAACTTACATATGAAAGGAAAAGGCTAAATCAGACCTTCTGTGATGTCATTACAAAGCTGAAAAGGTATTCAACGTTCCTTATGATCGTTCAAAAAGTCTGCCATCTTGAAAAAGAGATGTGGTTACGCCCTAAAAGGGTGTGGTTTCGCAAAAATTTGTGACGCACTTTGCACACCGCACAACCTATCCCCCCTTTCCAAAAATTCTGCCTACGCCCCTGGTAGTATTATTATTATTATTATTATTATTATTATTATTATAAAAATTTTGATCAGGTTGGAATAAAATTAGGTCAGGTTAGAGTAGGGGAAATAATGAAATAAGAAATGAGTCAATAGAAAACCAATGTGTTTAATGTAGCATGTAATCAAGTGTGACTCCATCAATTGTGATTGCCACTTGGACCCAGCTCCATGTTAGTTATTATTATTATTATTATTATTATTATCATTTATTGAAAGAAAACAAATGACTACACTACAATATCAATGCACACAACTGAATGCTAATATCTATCTACTATCAGTACTGTCTACTACATGTACTGTCTCTACTTGTTCAAACACAGTTTATTAGAGGAAGACTCCAGCCAATGCAAGTATCATCAAAGATACTGCAACAATAGGTGTAGCAATTATTCCTGTAGCACTTGATTCTGTAGTGCTTGATACTCCAGTACAAGCATCAGGGACACTCACTCCACTGCATGAACGTACACCAGATCCAAGGAACGGCTCCATACAGCAACCTGCTGCACTTGTGAAGTTGTTTAATGCAGCAATGCAGTTAGCTCTGCTATTGGTGGACCTACTGCATGATGTAAATCCATCAGTTTCAGTAATATATGATGTATCACAATATCTATAGATATTGTTCAAAGCATCTCTATTAGCTTCTGTATTAAAGCTGCGTAAAATCTTCACTGGACAATAGTCTCCACTTCCATCTTGCTGCCCACACAAGTACTGTTGGAAGAGAGTAGCATAGCGATCGAATCTATCCCCAGAATAAAAACAGTGATAATAATTTAGAACACCACGAACACATTCAGTTGTGCATTATAGTGGAGTATTGACTGTTAAGGCTGCTCAGATACAGGTCATTGCGGCTTGATGATGTAGAAGGTGTATAAAGATCAAACTTTGAAAGAGTGCAGTTGAAAGGGAGATTTGTAGATGCACAATTTTGCCTGCGCTCCAGTGCTATATTGTTCCTCTTGTTAATGTGGTGGAGTAATTGAAGCAAAGCAGTGTCATTCATTTCTTTCTCTTTATCAATGACAGCTCCTTCAGTGCATGCAGCAATGAGGAATAGGCAGACCAGAAAAAATGATGGGAACATGTTTCAGATAGTGTAGGTGCTTTTCTTCTGGCAGTTAAAGAGAAGACAGCTCCTTTTGTAAGATTTTAGTGATGGGGTATGAAGGAATTTTAGTTTTAAGGGGGCTAAACTCCAAAAACCACTATTAAACTAATTAACTGGTTTAGCAGCTATACAAATATTGATACTGCTGTTGGGGGGTCCACTTTTAAAAAGGTTCTGCCCCCTCTTGGTCTATTTCACAATTAGTAAATTCACACTTGTTCACTGTTACAATATACAATAATGAAAGAACACAATAAGTAATTTTTGTAGACAAACACAGAATCATTTTCTGTTACAAGACTTGTTTGTTGCTTCAACCACTAATTAAGTGATGTAGCCATGAAAACACATAATGAATGCAATACTTAAGCTTCTTTGCTTAGCAGAGGCTATTAACTAATGCTATTTTATTATCATTATCATTAGTAGTAGTAGTACTAGTAGTAGCAGTATATTAGTATTATTTTCATCTTTTCAGGTGCTCCAGACAGGACAAGAGATAACTGAATTGGATCAGTCGGGATTTGCTACACAATCAGCTACTGTGTTTGCTGGTAACGTTGGATCATTCATTGTACAGGCAACAAGAACTGACATCAGACTCCTCAAAGGAAGTATGAAATACATTATCATTATCCTACTTTAATTTGCACTTTTCTATATTTTAATTATATACACACACATGTAGTGGGGCCTTACTTTTACTTTATTTTTTTCTTATTAGTAAAGCAGCTGTGTTATGTGGCACTGGATATGGGAGGAGGAGTCAAATGCGTTGATGTGTGCAGTCCCTATGTGATTGTATTACTAATGGAGGGAGAGATTGGTCTATTGAAACTGGTCGACGAGTCACTGGTGCTATCATGGCCCTCTCTTGGCAATGTAAGTATAACACTGTCCTATTACTCAGCCTAATGGGACACTTTTCCTCAACATGTAATTATAATACAGTGTAGTTGCTGTTCTGTTACTTTCTTTTTCTTTATGGCTATAGAATTTCCTCTTTGTCATTTCATTTTTATTCTCTCCCTCTCTCTCTCCCCCTAATAGAATACTCCTGTTAATCATATTTCAGCATACACTGATACCAGTGGGTTATTTGATGTCACCTCCAGCCTACAATTTGAAGGGGATGGTTCGGAGAAAGAGGAAGAGGTTCCTATTGCCCCGCCCCCTGTCAAGAGGCCACACCTCTCCTCATCGCTGCTTTATGATGAAGACGAGTTATTGTATGGACCAGTTAAAACTGAAGTAAAAGAGGAAAAGTTAGTTTAGATAATAAACTATTAGTTTCTGACAAAGACAAAAATTGTTCAGAAATGCCTTACATTTTTTGTTTTGAGTTTTATTATATTTTATTTTTAGTGCTTCACCCATGGAGGCTTCATTAGCAGCTGAGCCTGAGGCTCCACCCCCAATCACACCCACTCATTGGTGTCTACTGTGCAAAGAAGATGGTGCACTTGAAGTAAATAACGCTCCTCAATTATCACTGTTATTATGTAATTCTTATTATCATTGTTATTATAAATCGTTATTTATTATTGTTTCTATTATCAGATATATTCTGTCCCAGAGTTTCAGTTTGTTTTTGCTGTCAGGAACTTCTCCGTTGCTCCTTGGACCCTTTGTGACAGTGGGCGTGTCCCGTTTCCAAGGTAACGTGGTATAAACGACGTGTCTTACATGTACATGTATTGTGTTCATTGGCAGTGGGACTGGCGAGTCAATGGGAGGAGGAGGGGGAGGAGTGAGTGGAGGACCTTGTAACGTTGAACAGGTTCTTTGTGTTGGTATGGGTCTTAATGGGAAGAAGCCACACATCATGGTCAGTTAGTTAGTAGTCCTATTATTGTACATGTATTTATAATGCCTGCTTCTCTCTCTCATCCCTCGTAGGCATTCATTAATAAAGAGTTGGTGATTTATGAAGCATTCCAATATACCTCTGCAATACATCCTGGCCACCTTAAACTGAGATTTAGTAAAGTAAATATACTGTTATATTCTAGCACTAATAATGATCACCTCTTTCTAATGACCCCCCTCTCTCTTCCCTACTTATAAAGGTGCAGCATAATGTAATACTCCAGGATAAGAGAGTGGGGAAATTAGCAAAGCACTTTCAGCAACAAGGTACGGTACATGTATCTAGCACATATTTATTGAGTGTTTGTACTGATGCATTTCTCTCCATTATTATATCAGAGTTTTCATTTCCTCCTCATTTGAGAAAGTTTTCTAACATTGCTGGCTACTCTGGAGTAAGTACACTACTACTACTAATAATAATAATATTAATAATAATAATAATGATATTAATAATAATAATAATAATAATAATAATAATAATGGCCAGATCTAACTTTGTTTTTTTGTTTGTTTTCTTAGCTAGTTTTTTTTTCTTATTTTTTCATGTTTCCCTTTTGTTTTTCTGTTATCTCCTCTGGAATCTCCCTCTTTCCCCTATTCTTTTCTTCTAGTCATTGTTTTTGTACATGTTCGTTATTTTTATAGCAATAATAATAATAATAATAATAATAATAATAATAATAATAATAATAATAAATTTCTTGTCATTGTGTTTGTACATTTACATTATTTATAATAATAACAATAATAGTAATAAATAATAATAATAATATTAATAATATTATTATTATTATTTCTTCCTCTCTCCTTTCTCTCTTGAGGTGTTTGTATGTGGTCCTTATCCTCATTGGATATTCATGGCTGCAAGAGGTCACCTCTCCATTCATCCTATGTACATTGATGGCCCAGTTCAATCTTTTGCTCCTTTTGATAATGTTAATTGTCCTTCTGGTTTCCTATACTTCAATAAAGAGGTAATTCTTGATAATGTACATGGATTTTGTTTAAAGTTTGAGCTACAAGTAATTCTGATCATATTGGATTTTTTGTGAATTTCTAAGTTGTTTCAAAATCTAACCATAGAGGGTCGTTGGCCAAATTTTGCCAAAAATGACTAGGAGCGAATTCTCCATTTTTATAATTTTTTCTGATGCATATACATGTTTTTATGATATGTTTCAAGTTTGAGCCAATACCAATTGAAATTAGATTTTTTATGAATTTTTGAAATTACTCCAAAATCGGGCCAAAGTCCCTGTACTATAGTACAGGGTACTTGGCCAAATTTTGCAAAAAAATGACTAGGAGCAAATTCTCCATTTTAATAATTTTTTCTGATGCATATACATGTTTTTATGATATGTTTCAAGTTTAAGCTAATCTCGATCGAAATTAGATTTTTTTATGAATTTTTGAAATTACTCCAAAATCGGGCCAAAGTCCCTGTACTATAGTACAGGTTACTTGGCCAAATTTCATCAAAAATGACTAGGAGCAAATTCTCCATTTTTATAAATTTTTCTAAGCGTATACATGTTTTTATGATATGTTTTAAGTTTGAGCTAATTCTGATTGAAATTAGATTTTTTATGAATTTTTGAAGTTACTCCAAAATCGGGCCAAAGTCCCTGTACTATAGTACAGGGTTCTTGGCCAAATTTTGCCAAAAATGATCAGGAGAGAATTCTTCATTTTTATAATTTATTTTGATACATATACACGTCCTTATGTTATGTTCTAAGTTTGAGCTGATTCCAATCAAAATTAGATTTTTTAATGAATTTTTGAAGTTACTCCAAAATTGGACCAAAACCCCTGTACTGTATATAGTACAGGGTACTTGGCCAAATTTCGCCAAAAATGACTAGGAGCAAATTCTCTATTTTTATAAATTTTTTTCTGCTGAATATACATGTTCTTATGTTATGTTTTAGGTTAAATGATTAATAATTGTAATGCTGTATTCACTTTCTCCCCTTCCTTATATTACAGTCAGAGCTGAGGATCTCAGTGCTACCAACTCAACTCTCTTATGATTCGTACTGGCCTGTTAGAAAAGTCCCATTAAAAGCCACGCCTCATTTTGTCGGCTATCACATGGAGAGTAAGGTATGATCCACACCTAAAACTATTATAGCCTTTAGTTCATAATTGTGTCATTATGTCAATAGGTTCATGTGATAATAGCCAGTACCCCTCAACCAGTGACTGTCATTCCTGATCCTAACGGAGAGACAGAGGATGCACTGGAGACTGTGGAAAGAGGTACAGTGTATATTATAGTGAATCACATGACTCTCTTTCATGTGACATATCTTTAGACGGGAGGTTTGTGTATTCTCAGGAAGAGACTTATTACTTGCAATTGCTGAGTCCAACGTCATGGGAGACCATACCACATTCAAAGTATTTTTACTGCACTCTATCTTATTAAAGACCACCCATACACCACAAAACTTGATTTTTGACTTTATGAAACATGTTTCAGCTCCATTGACTCCCATATAAAAGATATTTGTTTCATGAAACCGTGTATGATGGCCTTTAAAATAACTCTTCACAATAATTATATTTACACTATTTTTAACAAATTGTGGCATTAACTGATGCGGTTACATGTGTATATGCTTCTTTCTCTTCTAGGTATGAGATGGAGGCTCATTATCATGTGACTGATATGAAGGTGATGAGACTACGCAGCCAAGAGACACTGAGTGGAAGGAAAGAATACATTGTTGTGGGAACAATGGCCACCTTTGGAGAAGAGCTTAGTGCTAAAGGAAAAGTAAACAATCTTTATTTATTTATTTATTTATTTATTTATGTATTTATTAGGTTCTGATATTTGATGTGAGTGTTGTTATACCTGAGCCTGGAAAACCTTTCAGTCAATATCGTCTAAAAGTAATTATAATTGCATGTATGTTGTGATTTTAAAATTGCAATTTCTTAATAGAATTTATACGATCAAGAACAGAAATGGCCAGTTACTGGACTAGAGTGTGTGAATGGACTCATACTAACTGCAATGGGACAGAAAGTTAGACAAAATGGATCTTCTCTCCCTCTCATCCTCTTTTCTATATTGTACAGATATTCATGTGGCAGTTTAAAGATAATAAGGACCTCCTAGCAGTTGCCTTTATTGATGCAGAGACCTATATACACACAGCACAGAGTATCAAAGGATTCATACTAACGGGAGATGTAACACGTAGTATACAGCTCCTTCATTATAATGAAGACAGGCGGAGTCTCTCTCTCATTAGTCAGGTATTACTGGTTTGAGAAACCCGTTTGACTGGTTTTTAATAGGATCCTAACCCAATGGAAGTCTTCTCGACTACTTTTATGATTGATGGGAAAGCTCTTGGTTTTCTAGGTTAGTTAATTGGGAGAAGCTTTTAGTTTTTATTTTTCGTTTTATAGTGTCTGACTCTGATAGGAATATAACATTATTTCAATATCAGCCTGAAAGTAAGTAGTACTGCATCTTTTTTTGAGGGCTGTAAATTTCATGATTTTTAAAAGATTCGCAAAAATCACTTTGGGGAAAATGGCAGATAGCATAAATTTGCAAAAATTAAATTTACAAAATTTATAGCCCTCAAAAAAAGGTGCCCTATGGTATATTATCACATAAAATAGCAAAAAAATAAACATTGTAGTTTATGTATAGCCATAGTTGTGGTTTTAATGTTTTGATAGTACGTGTGTCTTGTTGACATAAGAAGAAGCCAATGAATATTAATGATGCATTTTGTGGGTGGGGCCATGCTTTTAAAATGGCAATCAGGAAGAGGTTTAGAACAATTGTGATCTTTGTTCTTCTCTTCTTTGTGATATTTTCCTTTGTTTTGCTACACAACTGGGAGCTGTCATCAGAGAAGCAAGGCCTTGTCACTGAGAGGGTGAGTAAGAACATACTTAGGACAAACTCATGGTCATCATCTGGTAGTCCACCTTCTACTACTTTCTTGAGGCACAATGGATCAAACTTGTTAATAGCATCAAACACTGGAAAGAGAATAGAGGCAATGAACTTACTTCCATGGAATATAACAATAGAAGGGTCTACTGATAAAGCAACAGTGACACCTGCAGGGAAATGGAATAGGCTTAAGATTGATTGGCTTAAAGGGAATGATGTGCTGGTTTTCATGCACATACAAAGAACTGGTGGGAAGTCATTCCTGTATTACACTGGATCAGTCACTCAAAGGAACAAGTCTTTATGCTCTTACGAGATACAATCCAATGTCACTATTAGTGGAGGCATTCCTAAAAGCTGGAGATTGCTCTGTCCCATCACAGATGCTGCCTATTATCCTAATAGCAACACAACACCTGTTAAACTCTGGCCTACAACTAAGCCTCTCTCTCTTAAGGCACTCAAGAAACTCAAATTGGACTTTACAAACATGAAGCCACTGCCCGAGATGTGGTTATTGTCTGAAGTGACTTACCAATGGCCGTGTGGCATCCACTCCTTCCTAACAGCCATGACACCTTGCGTACGAAACATATATACTAAAAGATATGGAGAGAAAGAGAGACGATTTCATTACTTCACATTGCTACGGGATCCTTTAGAACGCTACCTCAGTGAGTTCCTTTACACATACGAAGGGAGAGCAAGCTGGGATGTGGTCACAGGTGTTAAGGACTGTCCCGGGGCAATATCTGAGTATACCGTCCCTGAGTGTTACCATAATGCATACAAGAGACACCAGTGGCCCAATGTCAATTTGAGCTCTTTTGTATCCTGCCCTCATAACTGGGCACACAATAGGCAGACTTGGATGCTTGCGGATCTGAAGGACCTCCAGTGTAATGGGAGGAAGTATAAAGATAGAGAGTCATTCGAGAGAGAGTTGTTGGCATCTGCTAAGAGTAATTTAAGATCAATGCCTTTCTTTGGCCTCACGGAATACATGAGAGAGAGTGCTTTGCTGTTTGAGTATCGCTTTAATGTCAAGTTTAAGTTGCTCCCTCCGTTTAAGTCTTCACCGTCGACCTCAAAATGGCTGGTGGAGTCTGTAACAAATGAAGAGAATCTTCTAGATAATGTATTAAGCCGTAATGAGTTAGATAAGGACCTGTATAAATATGCTTTGAGTTTATTCAAGGAGAGACTTAAAATTATTGGAATCAATAAAATCAGAGGCAGAAAGTCAAGGAAATCTAGACGCTATTATATGAATAGAAAATCTCGGAAGTTTAACTATCATCATGCATAGCAACTTTCAGTTTTAAGTTTCATCCATCCTCAATTATACATTCCTGTACTATTTATAATAATCAATTCATACATGCAGTCTATTTATTTTTATCTTTTATACAAATAGAAATTTTACTTGACAATAGATAATGCTATCATTGGCTTGTCCAACAATGCATCAATAGTAATTGATACCCAATTGAATTAGAATGATCATGTTACTAGCACAATGATATTATTTACTCTTAAGTGATCTCTTAATTCAATCACATTTCCCACAATGTCTCGAATTACAGATCCTGCCAGCAGCGGTGGTGCTAATCTCGTCCGCTGTGGTGACATTCACGTCGGCTCACTGGTCAACGTGTTCCTTAACATTCGCTGCAAGACTTCGGCTGGTTTGGGCGCATCAAGAGAAATGAAAATCGCTTTAGCTGACAAGAGACAGTGCACCTTTTTTGGTATGTGCAGCAACACGCCCCCCCCTTCACACACTCTCTCATAATATCCTCTCTCTTCCTAGGAACCCTGGATGGTGGGATTGGCTGTCTATTGCCTATACCTGAAAAGGTGTATAGAAGACTGAGCATGTTACAAGTGAAGATGACACAAGGGATGAGACACATGGCTGGACTCAATCCAAAAGCGTTCAGGTAGTAAACACTATTGACTAGTGATTGTAACAACATGTCTATAGTTATGACTACACTCCACTGCACTGGGTAAACTCTGTATTGCTACACTTTATTATTGCATTTAGTGTAATGATGTGAGTAATAGGACAATGTGGGCAGTGATGTGTTTACATTATCAAAATATGCTCTGTACATTCTATGTCATGCATCAGAATGCAGCCAGGTGGTCTAGTCAGTGAAAATTGATTATTAAATTGAAACTTAATTAGTTTATTATTTGGGATAAATGATAGTCATGGATAGAATTTTACTACAAAGTTTTTCTGGACATGTAACTCTCTTCGTTTTTCATTTTCTCTTTCACAGGACATTTCAGACTCGCCACCAGTACCTTCACAATGCACAGCGTAACATACTTGATGGTACTCTTCTTTATCAGTATCTATCGCTCACTGCCAAGGAGAAGTTTGACTTTTCCAAACAGATCGGAACCACAGTGGCACAAGTAAAAAACATTGTCTTCATTTTCAACGATAGTTTCCTTTCAAATTGTTCTTTTCGGCACTTGTTAAAATCATTGTTTTTTTTTAATATTAGATAATGGAGGACTTGAAAGAAATCGACAAAGTAATGTCTCACTTCTAATCAGCCCAGCCATAAGGACTGTTAATTTTTTCTCCCACCTCTTCTTTTTCTTTCTCAATTCTCTCTTTCTCCTTTTTAATTTTATTATAAGAGTACATTAAAATTAATAAATTATGCATTCCAGCCTATAGACTAGGCGTGGTCTTTTCACAATTTAATTAATAATGAAATACTCCAGTCTTGTGGTCAGAGGCAGCATGAGGACTCGCTCCAGGATTATTTGTCTTTCTTCTTTGTTAGTGTTTATTCTACTAGTGGGAACGCTGTACTTGAGCAGCCTCAATAAATCCACTACTTGGATAACAAGACAGAGTAACAGCCTGCAATCTACCAGAATAGGAGAATGGATGCCGACGGCATTACCCCACCATTCAAAGCAAGGATCCAACACGGGGCTAGAACAATTACCGGGTACAACTTTTGACTTGAAATCCGGTCGACACGTACTCGTGTACATACACATACAGAAGACTGGTGGATCCCATTTCATAAAGAGTATAGTCACAGCAAAAACTACTGGAGGTGAGCCACTCTGCTACAAGCCAACGCAAGACATCAAGAAGAGACTAAAAAAGAAACGTGACATTTCATTTTGCCCCATATCCACTCCCACCCAGTCAGAGCCACCACATGACCATGTCCCAGAGATGTGGATTGTATCTGAGAAGACGTACGGCTGGGTATGTGGCCTACACGCTTTCTATACAGAAATGAAAACATGCGTGGGACGTTACCTCAAACATGTGTATGGGCCTAGGGAGCGTCAGTTTTATTACACGACCATCATTAGGCATCCGGTCGTCCGGTACGTCAGTGAGTTCCTTCACGTCCAGAGAGGAGCCACTTGGATGTATACTCATATCTGTGGACGTAACGTGAAACTGGGAGAGAAGATCAAACAACCTTGCTACGATGGCTACTACGAAGGAGCAATGTGGAAGAATGTGACACTAGAGAAGTTCATGGCTTGCTCCGACAACTGGGCCAGTAACAGGCAGACTCTCATGCTAGCCGATTTAGAAGATGTTGATTGCTTGTCAAACAAAAGAATGTCTAAGAAAGAGACTGAGAAGCGGTTGCTCGAGTCGGCAAAGAAAAACTTGGAGTCTTTCGAGTTTTTTGGCATTTCAGAGTACATGGTAGAAAGTGGGAAACTCTTCTCTGATCATTTTTCTGTCAAGCTCTCAGATCCGCCTCAACAAAAGAAGGTCCTTCACCTCCACACAGGCCCACTTCTTTACAAAATATGGAAAGACACTGGGCTCTATAATGAAATTCAACGCATCAACAGGCTGGACATGCAACTCTATCACTTTGCACTAGACTTATTTGAACAAAGACTCAAAAAAATGAACATTACAATCAATCGTACTAAGTTAGATATGGACATTTATTCCTTGCAAGATATCATTAGTAGAGCATATTAAAAGAGAAACTTTTTATGTTTATGCACTCAAGTGCATTTCAGATATTTATGTTGATAGCAAGTGTGCTGGGATTCCCGGATCACTGAGAGGAGGAAATGGAGCCTCTTCTTCTACTTCAGCTTCTATTGTTGTTGGTTTAGTAGGAACTAGTAGGATACATGTCTCTAGCTGCTGACGAAGATAGTCCATCTTGGGTCTCTGGGAGGGATTGCTGTGCCAACATTTGAGCATCAGTTGGTAGCTAACAAGAGAGAAAGACGGACATTAAAATACTGACAATTTACTACTGTATTGTTCAAATGAATACTTTGTTATTGTTAAAAGATTTTCACTTTGCAATAGCTAATTGAGCCATTTACACAACTGACTTACATTTCATTAGGGCAGGATATTGGTTTCAGCAAGCGAGTAAACTCGTAGCAGACGCCTTGAACAACCTCAGCGTCTGATAACTCCGCGAATGGGAACTGTCCAGTTGTAAATAGCTCCCACAATAGTGTACCGAATGACCTGTGGTGATAATTAAACATGACATAATTATAGAGAGGCAATTGGTTGGTGTCTGTTACCATATGTCACTCTGTAAACTAATATGATTCTCCATAAGCGATTCTGGAGCCATCCACCTAAAAAGTATCATTTTACTTAGTAAAGGGTAGCGTGAGTGTGTGTGTGTACTCCTTATATTATGGTATGCAACTATTGTCTGTGCGTGACATCTGTGTATGTGCATCTGTGTGTGTGTGTGTGTGTGTGTGTGTGTTCTCTATACCTCAAAGGCATCAGTGATCCATCTGCTTGTACTGCATATTCACTTCTGAACAAAAACCTACTCACTTTGTAATCTGCTCACACACACACACACACGACACATGTATGTATGTGAAAAAATGTATATGTACATGTACATGTATGTGAGAAAAAACCACTAACACCTGGCATAATTATTAACATCACAGCTACCTGATATTTTTATTCCAAGTGATTGAGTGACCACACAATTTCTGGCAGCTATATCCCTTCAGGTGCATAACATTGATTACAGTTACTCACTACATGATATGATTGTGGATAACTCACTGGTGTATGTACTGTATGGACTCCATATAAGCTAAACCACGGGCAGCATCTGTTGCCATAGCTAGTAATTGAGTTATTGTAATGCTAAATGAGAGAATCCCGTTAAGTTTAATAATCTTCATGCTCTCTTATATACTAGTAGTGCTAACTTTGTATGGGAGGCCTTGCTGGTTAACAGGAATGTCTTAAGGTCGCCGTTAACAGGAAGCTCTATGATTGTGTAGTAAGGAGACTGTGATACTACTCCAAATAGTCTCGTCACGTTTGAATGGTTTAATCTCCTGCATTGACAAAGAGTAAAAGAAAAGATGAAAGTGTAATAGCAAATCAACATTATATACATTAATTTCTCTAATTCGTGTTTGTATACAGCTAAATCTTGGCTTGTTCCTTTTTGAAATACCTACAGGAAAAAAATTACTGTTAATAGCCATGGCTCCTTCTTTTCAGACAGGCAAACTTATAAAATAATTGGCAAACTTTCTACATGGTATATATAAGGACATCAATGTATAATCATTAAAAAATAATTGGAGCCAATTTTGAAAGATGTGTCTAAGTTTTCGCTATACCTTAACAAGTGCTCTTGATTTAATATTGATGTCTAATTCCACTTCAGCATCATATATTGGACCATACTCTCCGATACCCAACTGCTGCAGAATTTTAATCTTTTCTCTTTGTATCTCTACCAAAAAATAAAAGGGTAAATCTGCTTCATAGACTAATGCTCTACCTTTCTCATGTGGCTCTATCGAACGGAGTGAAGTAGCACTAGCATTTGGATTAGCTTCAAGTACTGGAGCTTCTGCTTTCTCAGCTGGAGGGGGAGGATGCTCTTTGCTGTTAGCTTGTTGTAACTGCTGTGTCTCTTGATATCCTTCATGATACACTGATGATCTGTTACCAAACACTCTACATTGTGTCAAGCAGGCATTGCAAGGGCTCAGTAATACACCTGGTTGAACTTACTTCTTGCAAACGTTCAGTACATAAAACACTGTCAAACCAATGAGCACGAGTCCAACAGCTAAACCAAGTCCTAAAATAAGCCACACGAACCATGGAAGGTCTTCAGATGATCCTTGAGCCTGTTTCAATGAACATTTTCACATTTTGTCTATAGGGTATCTTACTCTACAGATGGATATTAGACTCAGAAAGCACAGTAACAAAGTTGTTGCCATTTCTGCGAGCCCCACCCTAGATAAAAAGGGGCGTGTCTCAACTGTGCAGCTAGTTAATAATATTCATACCTTTACTCAAGAGACTACTGAACAACAACAACAACATAAGATCTGAAATGTTGCTGATTCACAAGTTGCTCCATAGCAAATATAGTAGATATATACTTGCAGGGTTTCCCACAGAATTTTGGGATAGTTCCTAGCTTCTTTTCAGCAAATTTTTTGAAGTTGTTTCAAAATTTACAAGTATGGCCATTTCAAAAAAATCAATTTCTAAAAAATTCCCTGTTATAACCCATATTTTCAATGAAATATGGCTCAAAAATCACCTCAAATTTTTATTACATTTTCTGTTACATATTGATGTACTTATGCTGTGTAGAAAGTTTGAGCTGATTCCGACAAAAATTTTTCGAGTTATGGCCATTTTAAGAAAACGCTAAAATTCTGAAAAATACCCAAGGCTATAGCCCATGGTTTTTTCTAAAAAATGGCTCCAAAATCACCCAAAATTTTTTTTACGTTTTCTGTTACATATTGATGTACTTATGCTGTGTAGAAAGTTTGAGCTGATTTCGATAAAAAATTTTTGAGTTAAGACCATTTTAAGAAAATGTTAAAATTCTGAAAAATACCCAAGGCTATAGCCCATGGTTTTTTCTGAAAAATGGCTCTGAAATCACCCCAAATTTTTATTACATTTTCTGATACATATTGATGTACATGTACCTATGCCGTGTAGAAAGTTTAAGCTAATTCCAACAAAATTTTCATGTAGAAATTTTGAACTGATTCCGATCAAAATTATAAATTTTTAAATTGCTCCACATCTAATAACTCAAATATAATTATGATGTAAGAGTATTTTTAATGAAGTTAATTATAGTTTATGGTAACATCAAAATTTCCCACTTTATAATGCAATGATAAACTAATCTTTGCTGGTACAGTTATTAGGCACTAATATCATTACTATAATTGCTATTGCAAGTCCTCAAACTGTTCGTTAGGAAATAAGTTCTTGTGCTTTGAAGCAAGGAATCTTTTACCACAATAGCCACAGTCGTTTATCTCTGGCTTGTCAAGATTAATGTAAACTTTAGGATGACCCAATGCTCCATGACCTAATGTAAGCATAACATTTAAAGACTAGCATAATACTTAAAGATAAGGAGGCAGCATATTACCTCCATCACAGTAAGTATGAGTTCGACCACTTATCAGCGTAACTGGTTCTTCAGCTAGCAGATCAATAGCAAATTGCTCGTTAACCTGTGAGGATCTACGTAAAGCAAAAGCAACTTATTATAGGGTTTACTTGTTTTTCTCTATCGATAAACCTCACATTACGATAATCAGTTTCTTCCCATTTCTGTGAAGGAGAGGGAAAGATAAGATGGTGAGACAATAACAGGTGAAATATAAGAGGATTTGTTTGTATTTCTGACTTGTCCGGTGTGAGTGACTTTATCATTGCTTCCTAGTCTGGCAGCAGACGAGAAGACAGTCCTGCGTCTGAGAAATAGACGAGAAGTGACAATCCCAGTTCTCCAAAATCTAGCGGCCATGACAACAAATTGGCCACACCCAATACCAACCACGCCCACAATAATTTATTTTGCTATTAAAAATTCATTATTAAAAAAAATTATAAAAATTAAATTAATATTCTGTTGAAGTTATGAGGTTATATTCATCCTCTTGTTCCATGTATCTCTGATAATGCTCGTCAACTATTTGAACAATATTAATTTCATTTTCTCTCACACGATACTTGTAACGTCTAGCCAGTATAACAAACAATATGAAAATAAGGAAGACTATCGTAATCTCAATTGGGTGATAGTACGAATTAGTGCAGATGTTTTGACTTTGACATTGAAAGGGAAATTTAAGGCCAATTTTGATAAGATATCCCATTCCCAATGATGCTAACCACAAACCAACCATCATTCCCCTCATTTGTACAGGAGACTGAGCAATAGTGAATTCTAGTGATATAGGAACAACTAGAAAAAATGATATTCCAAGGAATATATGAGGAACAAGTAATATGCTATTGTTGTACAAAGCATTGATTTGCTCTCCCTTAATTTTAAAGAGGACAAGCTTTGAAATGACTACAACTAAGGAGAACAGTAGCCCAGTACAAATCCTAGCAAGCATGCTTGGAATATACTTGTAGAAACAGACTCTAGCAACAAACAAGTGCAATAGCACTATTATAAATGAGGACAAATAGTATCCGAAATCATTTCCTACCAAACAGGAAAAAAGATGATGGCTAGAGCTAGCATTATAAAAAACATCAAAATCATCACTGCAGGCAAACCCAATCAATGCAATGAATAGTGGTAGCATGTGAAAGAATGTCTTTACATCTTCTACCTCTTCCTCTGTGAATGGCCCACCATATTTATCCTTACCCAGGTCGAGTCTTGATGGAGCCTTTTCCTCCCAGTAGGTCAGAGCACTACGATTCTCAGGATACTTGTGCTTCCTGGCATAACACAATACTCTAACTATCAGTTTGATGGGATTCTTGATTAGTGATGCATTCTCCAGTTTGTGTTTGAAGAATGAATGAGAGACCAGTGCAAGAGTTAGGAATATTCCAGATAACGAAAGTGCCACTATATGGAAGAGCTGAGCTGTTGTGTCAACAAAGCATATAGCCAGGGAAATTATTGTACACATAAGCGGTACTGCAGCTGCATGCCAGTATATGACTGTGTTTAGTTCATCAGCAGAAGCTCCAACAAGCTGGTCAATGTTATACTGCACAATGTTAGCTTTAAAAGCTAAATAACCACAAAATTGTAACAAATATGTGATCCCATAACAAAACCATAGGAGCAACAAGGAATCATACCATAATAAAATAGACCCAATCCCTGTTGCAATCCATGCCAAGAAGCAAAGGACTATACCTATCATTATAGCTCTGTATCTTCCAATGCATACATCAGCTAACAGACCAAATACAGGGAAAGAGATGTACGCAACACAAATCAATGTAAAGAAAGCGTAGCTGTACCAACTCTGAGGAGCAGCTTCTTTAAGAGTTGAAGCAGTGTAATATCTGAACAGAAGATTCTCTGCATACATGAGATAGTCCCAAATAAGCAATAGGATGGCTGTAAATGATGAAGTAAAGGGAAATGGTGATGAGGACATCGTGTTCATTTCTTAATGATTGGACTTAAATTGCATGTGGTTGTTTTATATAAAGCAGTTTGTTTGCTATAGAAACCTAACTAATTGAAAGTATATTTCCTAAATCAATATTGAATGTTTTCCTTTCTTGAGCTCAGGGGGTTTAAGTTTATGATAGTTATTGCTAGCATGGTATATGTCATTTCCCTACATCCATATCATTCTTTACAAACATAAATGTGTACAGCAAAAAACTATATGAAGTGCCAGCATTATATATGATATATAAAATAAAATTTTGATAAATAATTGGACAATTTATAATTTAATTATTATAATCAGCAGTTTCAGTATTGCTAGATCTACCAGAGTTTGATGATGAAGAAAGATTATCTATTGGCATTGTGTGTCTGGAGTCTTGCTCCATGTACCTTTGATAAACTCCATCCACTATCTGAACAATATTCACCTCATTCTCTCTGACACGATATTTGTAACGTTTAGCAAGTACTACAAACACTATAAGAATTATGAGAACTAGGGTACCCACAATTAGGTAAGCACGAAAATCAGTGCAAACGCTATCAGGAGTACATCCAGTGAACTGCATGTTGATTCCAATGCTAATGACATAGCCAATTCCTAATGAAGCTAACCACAGCCCTACCATAACTCCTCTGATGTGAATGGGAGACTGAGCTATTGTAAACTCCAATGATGTAGGAATAACAAGAGTGAATGCAATACCAGCCAATACTTGAGGGACAAACAAGAAAAAATTAAAGTGTGGTGGCGTGGCTCTCATTCCTTCCTCAAAGTAAAACTTAAATGCTATTGCCTTAGAAAAAAGAACAAAGAAAGAAAACACCAAACCTATGCTGATTCTGGTCAACATACTGGGAATGTATTTATAAAGGAACGCTTTCAATAGGAGTAGATATGTTAGCAATAGGATGCAAGAGCAAGAGAGGCTAACAAAATCAGTCAAAATAAAACAAGATATCCAATCATGATCTGGAGACTTTAAATACGTGCAATTGTACACATTATCGCTGAAGGCAAACCCAACCAATGCAATAAACAGTGGTAGCATACGAAAGAACGTCTTCACATCTTCTACCTCTTCCTCTGTGAATGGTCCACCGTATTTCCCCTTACCCAGGTCCAGTCTTGAAGGAGCCTTTTCCTCCCAGTAGGTCAGAGCACTACGATTCTCAGGATACTTGTGCTTCCTGGCATAACACAATACTCTAACTATCAATTTGATGGGACTCTTGATCAGTGATACATTCTCCAGTTTGTGTTTAAAGAGTGAATGAGAGACCAGTGTACAAGATACAAACAAACCTGATGCCATGAAGGTATACACTTTGAAAGCACTTGGCATGCTGTTGAGAAAGCATCGTACTAACTGAGTAATGGTGCAAATAATTGGTACAGCAGTTGAGTGCCAATAGATGATGTTGCTTAGCTCTTCAGTTGAAGCACCAATAAGTTGGTCTATGTTGTACTGAACAATATTTGACTTAAAGCTTAAATAGCCAACAAACTGGCCAGCAAAAGCAACATAAAATGTTATCCAAATTGATTTCTCATAGTAGTATTCTAAGATTATTTCAACACCTCCAAGTATCCACGAAACAAAGCACATCACCATTCCGAATTGTATTGCTTTGTATCTTCCAATCCATACATCAGCTAACAATCCAAATATTGGAAATGAGAGGAAGATCAAACATGATAATGCAGCTAATCCGTTCTGGTACCAATCAGGAGGTGTCAGATTAGTTTCACTTGCTTCACTGACTGTGACTTCAATGAAGTACCTAAAAAGGACATCGTGTGCATACATCATGTAGTTGAATGCAAGGACCAGAACAGCTGGTAATAACTTTCTGACATTCACACGCTTTTGATGCTTCATCTTTTTCCAAAGAGTTGTATAACTTTTTTATACGTGCAATAGCATTTTATTACCCAAAATGAAAACATGTGAATGAAATTAAACAATAACAAGACACAATGGGATCGATTCACGCATTGCATTAATAAAGTTTCTGTTTCTTCTCTAGCATCAAATTAGCCTTCATTGTTGTTGTACTTGTCCTCTTGCTGCATATACAGGTCATACTGATTATCAACAATCTGATAAATATTAGCTTCATTTTCTCTCACACGATATTTGTATCGCCTTGCCAGGATGACAAAAATTATCAGGATGGCAAGAATAAGAACACTCTTTGCTAGATAATAATAAAAACTGGTGCAGTTGGACTCATTTTGACAGTGAAATAAGAGAATTGCCATTATAACATTGCAGAGGTAGCCTATGCCCAATGATGCAAACCACATTCCAACCATCACTCCTCTCATGTGTATTGGAGACTGGGCAACTGTGAACTCTAGTGATGTAGGAATCATTAAAAGATATGATGCTCCCAATATTGCTTGAGGAATAAAAATGAGCTTGCTGGTATAATGTGATTTTGCTGAATTAAATATTATCAAATAGGAAACCGAAACGGCTAAGGCCAAAACCAATCCAGCAGTAATTCTAATGAGCATCCTTGGAATATACTTATTCAAGAAAACTCTAATTATAAGCAGATACACCAGAGATAGAATCACTGTGGTAATAAAATATGCCATGTGATTTGAAATGTTGCATAAAAGTAGAGACATTTTATGATATGCATGAAATGCGTGTTCATCGCTGCAGGCAAACCCAATCAATGCAATGAATAGTGGTAGCATGTGAAAGAATGTCTTTACATCTTCTACCTCTTCCTCTGTGAATGGCCCACCATATTTATCCTTACCCAGGTCAAGTCTTGAAGGAGCCTTTTCCTCCCAGTAGGTCAGAGCACTACGATTCTCAGGATACTTGTGCTTCCTGGCATAACACAATACTCTAACTATCAGTTTGATGGGATTCTTGATCAGCGATACATTTTCTAGCTTAAGGAATGAATGGGACACCAATACAAATGCAATGGCTACTCCTGAAACAATGAAATTGACCATAACATTATAAACCTCACCACCAAATAAGCAATAGCTCAATTGACAAATCACATTTACAATCGGGACAATAGCTGCATGACTGTATATTATAACTTGGAGCTCGTTAGACGAAGCTCCAATGAATTGGTCAACATTGTATTGCACAATATTAGCTCTGAAGCTGGTAAAACCAACAACTTGAAGAACCATGGCAACAATGTATATAATCCACAAGAGTGCTTCTGAACTGTGGTAGCCATATATGACATATCCCGTTCCACTTATGATCCATGATGCAAAGCACAACAGACAACCAATGAGGATAGCTTTATACCTCCCAATGCACACATCTGCCAGTAGGCCAACGAATGGAAATGAGAGGAATCCTATGTACGATAGTATCAAAAGTGTAGAAGTTGAGGGACCCATTTTAGAAGAAACAGTAGCAAAGGCAAAGTAGCGAATGAAGACATCATGCGAATACAAGAGATAGTCCCAAAAAAGGACTAGAACAATAGAAGCCATCTGTCCTCTAGCCATCTCAAGCACCTGCCTGGGGCTATAATGAAAGCTGCTATGCAACAGCAGTGCTTATCTAACACACAAAGAGTGAAACGAAAAAGGTGCATTAAGTGGTGTGTGTTATCACAATGGTAATTGATAACCATGACAGATAATGTAAATGCAAGATTGCATAAACAACTATAATGCATTCTTACAAGTTACAATGATGCAGAAATGTTTTGAACTACAATTGTCAATAATAAAACATTGGTTGCTATCTCCATAAGAGTACTTTCTTATGTCGATTGGGTATCTTGTTCTTTTGCCTCAGTTTTCTCACGGCCTCTCTGATGTGTTTGGGTTTCAGGGGGCCAGTCTCTTCCATTTTGTCTCTAGCCTCACAAGCAGCTTCTACAATCTCACCAACATACACTTTAGCCATCCCGGCCATTGCAATGACAACATTCTGTGATACTGTCCCACCAGAAACAGATTGCATCAGTTTCCTTGAAATAAATAATTTAAATTAAAGTTGCAAAAATTATGCTGCTTGCTCACTTTACTGTGCTTTTTTGAAAAGTAGCCCTCCTGAATATTTCATATTGATCCAATTGTTGACTGCTAAATGCTGACACTAGTAATTGTAGCTTCTCTGCTTGTCCCATCTCTTCCTTTGCATCTATAGATCAAACATGGGACAATAATAATAGTAAGATTGAGCTGATTCCAACTAAAATTTTTAGTCATAGCAATTTCTAAAGTAGCAAATTTTTAATAAATTTCCAAAAATGGTTTCAAAATCATCCCAAATTTTTATTACGATTTCTGATATAATTTCTGTTTTTATGCTGTGTAGAAAAATTGAGATAATTCTGAGCTCAAATTTTCGAGATATGACCATTTAAAAACGGACCAATTTCTGAAAATTTTCCTGTACTATAGCTCATGGTTTTTCCTAAAATTGGCTCTGAAATAGCCCCCATTCTTATTACACTTTCTCATACACATGATGTCCTAATGTTGCATAGAGAATTTAAGGTGATTCCGAGCTCAAATTTTTGAGTTATGGCCATTTAAAAAATGAGTCAATTTATGAGAATTTTCTTGTACTAGTCTATATATATATAGCCCATGGCTCCAAAAATCACAAGTTGATTTTCTTACTTACCATCATCTTTGTCAGGCGACTTCTCTACTTTATCATCTTCTAATTTTGCCTTCTTGCTAGCTGGAGGCTCTTCTTCTTCATTGGTACCAGCAGTAGAAGAGCCAGACTTCTTTGTACTTTTCTTCCCCATTTTAATTAAGACCACACCTTCATACTCTAAAGCTCCGCCCATTGTTTGTAGGAACGCAGAATTTGCAATCACATCATCACAGTGCATGTGTCATCATTGTCATGTGACAACTTCTCCTCCCAATCTCCCAAAATATCATTTTGCAAGTTAAGTTAAGGCTTGGCTGAGTCATTTCCTCTGTTAGTCCCCATTAAGTCTTACATAGTTTTACAGTGAGTGGCTATAAGAAGGAGTGATACTCTCAGAAGACAACAATATTGATAACTACGTGAAAGATGAAGTGGGAGTTTAAGGAAAACCATACTTTCGGTAAGTATAGCCCACCCGAGAGACAGATATGTGAGACTTGTGTGTGCCTGTACTCCCATACACTCTTATAATGTGATCCTTATTCATTGCAGAGGTTAGATGTGCCGAATCTGCCAAGATAAGAGGGAAGTACCAAGACAGAATACCAGTAAGAACACAGAGAAGGGACATGAGTAGAAGAGTGACTAGTTGTTTGTTGTCTTTATTGAAAGGGAAAGCACGGGGAGTTTTAAATAATTATTGAGCTTACAAACAAAGGAAATATATACATACATGTATTTGTGTGGTGTATGTAAACCATACTTAATGTGACAAGTATGGAGGCGTGGTCACCTTTTCATTTACTCTCTTATCTATGGCTGAGAGAAGTTTAGTTGGTTTAGAAAAAGAAGATAGTGATTTAGAGATAGGAGAGAGAGAGAGGGGAGAGAGAGAGAGAGAGAGAGAGAGAGAGAGAGAGGTGAGTGACTTAAGAAAGATGATGCAATGCTTTGTTTACACTTAATTTTTCATTTGCCATTTATATCTGCTGAGCTGAGCTGACTACACTATGTGCATGTATTGTAGCTGTAGTAACTGTACATTAACTACACGTATAATATTACGTGTACTTGGGCATATTATGCATGTTTCTGTTTCTCATTAGGTTATTGTCGAGAAAGTCCCAAAGTCGGCTATACCTGACATCGATAAGAAAAAGTTTCTAGTTCCGGCTGACTTGAGTGGTAAGCAATAAAAATTATTGAAAAAAATTATTGATAAAATTTATATACTTTGTCTTCTTTTGCAAAACAATTTAAATAACGTCTCTTTTCTCTTTCAATTGCAGTTGCACAGTTCATGTATATTGTACGCAGAAGAATCAGCTTACCAAGTGAAAAGGCAATGTTCCTGTTTGTGAATAAAGTATTACCAACAACAAGGTCAGCCCAGAATGCTATCATTCTTTACATTCAAAAGCACACGATTCACACATCACTCGACTGTTTTATGATGTGCATACAAAATGATACAATAGTGGATGATTGAACCATGAGGTGGTGCAAAGTTCACAATTATTATTGACAGAGATTAAGATAACTAGAAATTCTGTCATGTGATCAGTGATGCCATCATTAAGTCAGCATTCAGTCAATTGCCAATTTGCAACTTTATAAGCAGCAGCCAAGTCTTTCTGCCATTATTTATGGCTAAACTTATATGGTATCTCAAGACTATAATTCACATCCTGTGTTGATCCTTAGTCATGAATTTTGTTTATTTATTCATTGATTAATCATAATACAATAGTGCTTAAATATTTTTCTTTGTTATTATTATACAATAGTGCTTCAATGGGGAGTATCTATGCAGAACACAAGGATGAAGACGGCTTCCTTTACGTTGCTTACAGTGGAGAGAACACATTCGGTACTGACTAACACACAGAGAAATTAAAGAAACTAATCTACTCATACTTTTAATTATTATTATTATTATTGAACTCTTTGTGTGTGTCTTCATTATAAATGTATTATAAGTAGCTGTACATGTGAACCACTGTAGTGTTGGAATTATAATTTTAGTGAAAAGACATTGCTTAATGCTTTAGCTCTCCCTCCCTCTCCCTTCTTTCCTTTTATCTCCTTTTTATGATTCATTAATAATAATAAAAATAATAGTTATTATCATTAGTTTTGACAGAGAAAATTAATGATGACCAACATGGTGTCTCTAATACCTCCCCCTTCCACGAAATCCACCACGACCACCTTTAAAATAAATAATACAAAATGTTAGAATAATAAAAAAAAATTACCTCCTCGTCCTCCTCTGAAGCCTCCTCCACCTCTTCCTCCTCTAAACCCTCCTCTTCCCCCACCTCTAAAACCACCACCTCCTCCTCTACCTATAAAAGATGAAAATTCTTTGGCTATATTAGGAGGTTTCAAATCACACCCACTCCTTGTTGATTATTCACACAATCCAAAACATTTATCACACGTAAACATGATTGTATTACAATACTGTGATGTTACTGATGTATTCTTTAAAGTTAAATACACAGAGTAAATGCAAAATAAACGCTGACCTCTTCCTCCTCTACCGCCTCCTCTTCCCCCTCTCTTCTCAACTCGACCTAAACAACAAATATCACAAGGTGTTGTCTCTTCCATTCAATCAATAATAATTTACCAGTTGCTCCTTTGGGTTGTGGGAGGAATCGGGACAATGGTAAGAGCTTCATAGGATCAATGTACAACTATAAACAATACTTTATTATAAGTTTATAACAGTTTATAGGAACAATTTAATTTGAATCTCTAAAGTGACTGTAAGCGAAAATTCCAATGGCTAGTAGTGAGCCAACCCCCACACTTTATTATACATAATTACTGACTAAATTCTCTACCTCGTCGGCATCTAAAAAAAAAGATCAATTTTTGACATACCTTTTGAGAAGCAGAAAATGAAGTGGCCAGCATATCCGAACTCAATTTGACAGAAAACATCTAACGAAAAGTCAAGGACTTGCAACAATATACAAAAATTATACAAAATAGTGTAATTTAGATTAATTAGCTATATCCAAGTAACTTGACGATCCACTGAAAAGAAACTGTATAAGCATTATGCCAAAATCCTGAGGAAAACCCTGCCCGAGTACAATGTGGATACGAATTCGTTAAAGGGTCCAAATATCTCATCAATCTTTCCAACTTGTGACTTGTTCTCGAGATATATCGGAGCATTAAAGTAAGGCACCCTTGCTATACTGCTCTTGCAAACAAGATCATTCTCACAAGGATGCAAATAAGTACCAACCTCTAAAAATCAATTATTAAAATTAAAAAACTTTTTAACATAAAATATGGATTTACCAACGACGTGTTCTGGAGGGCCAAGGTCTTGTTGATATCCTCCACCCCCTCTCCCTCGACCTCCTCTCCCTCCTCTACCAAAGCCCCTGCCTCCACCACCTCCTCGACCACGATAAGACATGATACTCTCTTCTTTTCAGAGTCTTTTCAGTTTTATTTTCCACGTGGGTACATGACGTCAGGTGATTTGACCAAAAAATAGTAGGCCGGCCCATAAAAATTAATCTTTGACCCATTTTGATAACTTAGCCCCGCCTACCAACCGGTCAATCTTTGACATCTTCAGATTTCGTGAAAGGGTCAGTGGCTCAGTGCAAGTTGATATCCAGCCAGCCGTCAGCCGGTTGAGGAAGAAATACAGAAACTAGAAATACACAGAGTATGTCGAAGATGAAGTGGGCTTACAAAGACGAGAAACCTTACGGTACGTGACTTATTTCTTGCTTTACATTCCGGGGCTATGCTGTATTGAATTAATTATAGAGGTGAGACTCGCCGAAGCATCAAAGATCAGAGAGAAGCATCCAGAGAGAGTGCCTGTAAGCCCATTGCCCATTCAACCCATTCCCTATAGGTTATTAACAGGTCATTGTTGAGAAAGTATCTGGAGCTCGCATAGCTGACCTTGATAGAAAGAAATACCTTGTACCAGGGGACTTAACTGGTAAGAAATGGGAAATGAAATCGGTAGCATGTGACTAGTCACTTGGGATGCATGCAGACAGCACAAAGCATTGTCACTGTTGGGGCGTTAACATGCAAATTGATTTTAGGAAAATTACGATTTCTACTGATATTTATTATTATTATTATTCTGTTGCATGTTTCAATAATAACTCAGACACCAATTGCATAGCTGCCAAAATACACTGAATTTGAATAACAATATTGAAATTGAAGCAGTATATAATTGATTACATTGTAAACGTGTATGGTCCATTTGATTTGGGTTGCAAGTTATATCATCTTTGCTTTGTTTATAGTTGCACAGTTCATGCATGTACTAAGACAAAGGATACAATTAGGAGCTACAGAGTCAATTTACGTGATGGTGGATGGTATTACACCTACTACAAGGTGAGAGCAAGAGAGAGAAGAGGTCACTTCAATTGTGAAGTTCACAGTTATGATAATTATTATCAGTCATGTATACTATTCATTGTTTGATTAAGACACAAATGATATTAAAATTCACTTTAAGTGATGTCATGACATGTGATAAAATACTGAAGTACAAAAGTACATTAAGTGCCAGTCATTAAGTATTTTGTGTAAGGTCAATGAGCTCACCTTATGTCATCCTGTACATGCATGCTCTCTGTGACCTTTGCCTCTAACATCTGATTTAAAGATTATTCATCTTTATAATTCTAATTATAGTTCAACAATGGCTACGGTCTATGATCAACACAAGGATGATGATGGGTTCATATACATGGCGTACAGTGGAGAGAACAGCATGGGCTGTTCCTGATCATCTGTGCACACACTGCATGCAGCAACTTTAAAAGAAAATGCTCTTGTTTTTAATTATTATCTTTATTATTATTATTGTTGTTCTTGTTCTTCTATTCTCCTTATTGTAAATGTCTATTGCCACTAATCATCAATTATTATTATTATTATATTATTATATTATACTGTGGCTTCTGTTATCGTTAAAAAAATTTCTTTCCTATGGAAAGTGTATACAAAAATCAATGAACTTTTAGCATAAGCCACACCTATTAACGCCCACTTTGAGGGTGGGGCTGAACCTGAAATGCTAATTTTGGATTCATAAGATGGAAGTGGACACTGAAGTTATAGAGAAGATCCAGAGCTTATTCCACGAAGTTATAAAGTCCCGTGTTGCCAGTCTGATAGAGAAACACAATGTGTCTCTACCCATACTGCTAAATGATGTTGAAAAGGATGGTCTGAAGGGGAGCTGGTGGTTCCCAGTCCCTGGGTTTTATGGAGGCTTCTCCTACAGCTTTAAAGGAGAAGGTAAAGACCTAATGTTGGTAGCTGAGAGTTGGTGTCGGGTTGCTGGTGGCTCTGGACAAAGACACGAGATTACAGTAGATGGATATAAACTGGTTGATGAAGAATTTGTATAGCAAACAGAATTAAACACAATAGATCTATATGTATATATATATATATATATATATATATATATATATATATATATATATAAACTAAAATTTTTAGTCTTTTGGATTTGTTTATAATCACAATTTTGCTTTTTTAACTTAAATCAGTCAGTTATCACATGTAGATACATTTGTCTAACTACGAGTATAATTAGATTTAGATCTGGTACAAAGTGTGTACGCACTCTGACTGATTCCTAGTCTAACCACTTCCCAGTTCTTTCCTTCAATTCAGTATTTGAGAGCAATCCTTTGTTGCTCTATCTTGTACATTGCTGCTTGAATTTTGAATACAATGCTACTTGGCCTTGTCATCATTGCTCTCTTTTTTGAGGTTAATAATGTTGCCTCTGTTTGCCCCTCTCCTGATTGTGCTTCGTGCAATCGTAAACCTCAAATCTCAGTCTATCATCAATACTGCTGCTTACCTGAAAACAATGGAAATAAATTTGAGCTTAGAAAAAATGATGTTGTCACGAGGTTCCTCTGTCCAGCTAAAGGACTGCCTTATGAAGGTGTGTGCCAAGAGGTAAGAGGCCCTCTTTATCATTCTTGCAGTGAAGTGCTAGAGAGCTTCCCCAATGCAACATCAGGCTATTATAACATCACTCAAAGTAATGGGAGTATTGTTAGTGTCTACTGTGACATGGAGGGTGAGGCTTGCGATGGTAGCCGGGGCTGGATGAGAATAGCTTATACCAACATGACGCAACCTAATGCTACATGTCCACAGGGACTATTTCAATACGACTTCAACAACGAAACACTTTGTGACAGGAATCACCTTGAGTCAGGAAATGGGTGCAGCGCTACCTTCTTCTCATCCAGCGGATTCAATTATCGCAAAGTCTGTGGAAAAGTTAGAGGATATCAATATGGATGCGTCGATGGCATTTACTTCAATAATGGAATAGTAATAGACAGTATTGACAATGCTTATGTTGATGGAGTGTCAATTACTCATGGAAACAACCCACGTCAACACATATGGACATTCGCAGCTGGAGATCAGGAATATAACAACGGTCAATACGACTGTCCGTGTAATACTAACAGCGCAGAAACTACACCGTCTTATGTTGGTGATGATTACTATTGTGAATCGGGAGCTTCAGCTTTGTGCCATGTTATAAATTACTTTCCTGATGATCCGTTGTGGGACGGTCAAGAGTGCGATCATCTTGAGTCTCCCTGTTGTGTATCATCATCATTGCCATGGTTTGTTAAAGCGTTGAACAAAGGCACTACTGATGATATTGAGCTCAGAATCTGCACAAGTGAAGGATATCCTAATGAAGCCACTCCACTGGATATTATTGAGATATACATTAAGTAGTTGTATTTCATTACAAATAATGTCATTGCTTTTCATAGTTTAGTTTTAGATAGTAGTGATCTCAAATTAATTTTTTAAAACTCTTAGAGCCTATTATTGTAAGCGTTCATGCTATTATGTTAATATCTTACCAAGAGTACATGATGTGTACTCTTGATATTACCCTATACTACATTCCTTATGGTGACGCTTCTCATTGCTTAAGTTATAAACTTGCAAATTGCAAGAGAAAATACTGTATATATAGCTGTAAGCCTGAGCAATATCATTGAAAGTCAAAAACTAAACCAGTTCCTGACATTCTTTTAGTATATTCAGCATCAAATCTTGTCGACTGCTCATCAGTAAAGTGATTCTTCCAGTCACCAATCACTCCTTTACGTATAAAAGGTGTAGAACCGCTGACAACAGGGAATCCTAATGGTAGATTAGCTAGTGGGTCATCTTTCATGCTCTCAAATGTGCTCTGTTTAGTAATTTTATCAATCATTGCATCATCAAGACTACAACCCATGAATTGTGCTATAGTCTTCACTGAAGCAGGCAGATCTTTCTTCAAATCTTCATACTTTAAAAACAAAATGTTTTTCGCATCTAAATAAAAAATTATTTTTAAAAATATTATCGTCATGTCAAACCTTTATGCTCCCACCAGCCAAAAATATGATGAAACCAAAGTCCACACGAAACCTCTCCTTTCATAAACAGCTCAAAAAAGCAATCCCAGTCACCAGTAAATTGAAAAGCAGCATAACGTTTTGCATGATAGTACAATGACACAGCCACATCTTTAGGATTACGTGCAATATATATGTACTTGCCAATAGAATTAGCAGGATCTCTTCCAGGCATCATGTCATATGGTAGATGAGTCTTTAGAGTACGAGGAGGTGAAAGAGCCTATAGAAGTGGATATACAACAGACATGGGTAGATGATATATTCACAATCAACTATTAGTATATATCCTTGCCAAACCATAAGGAATAGACTGTCTATTGAAACCTACTAGAACAATTACAGGTGCCAAATTTTGTACATCTATAGGGAGTGTCAATTACTATGGTTTCATTTTTGATCTCAACATGAACTTTCTCCAAACTGTTTTTCATGAAATACCATCTATCTCAGGGTTTCTCATTTTAGATGCCATATCATCCCCTCAATTGAACTTGATTCAAGTACTATATATACCAAAAACCCAGTCATGCTCTTTTTTAAAAGTATTATACAATCATAATTTTAACAATAGATTTTGTTCTTTTACATATCGTTACACTAGCTATGCTATCAGATCTTGCAGGTTCAATAGCTATTGCAAGTAACATACCCAGCATATTATGTACTCTTGCCAGCATGCATGTAACATACCCTTGCACTGTCTTTTCCTATACTTTCCAGCCATGGTATATCAGAACTGATATGAGTGTCCTTCTCTCCTCCCCACTGTATGAGTGATACAATCTGTTGTGTCCATGTTGTACCGGATTTTGGATAAGTGGCAATGTACAGATCACCTGGAGAAATAGGATAGTCGGGGATTTCAGCTATCCAGCTTGCATCCAACAAAGGATTAAAGGGAAAACCATCAAATTCACGCAATAATTGAATTGAACCACTTGACATTTTCAGTCTTTCCTGTAGACAATAATGCAGCATTAGATACACATCACCAGTAGACAAACTGATAATTGCAAGATCCTATATATAATAGATTAAAGTATGATGCCACTCCCATTGACTTATATTTAGATCATTCTCCTTTTGTAAAAAATTCTAATACATCTAGCTAGCTCAAATAAGAATTTTTATAAACATCATTCAAAGTCAAAAACTAAACCAGTTCCTGACATTCTTTTAGTATATTCAGCATCAAATCTTGCCGACTGCTCATCAGTAAAGTGATTCTTCCAGTCACCAATCACTCCTTTGCGTATAAAAGGTGTAGAGCTGCTGACAACAGGGAATTTTAAAGGTAGACTGTCAATAGTAGCTAGTGGGTCATCTTTCATGCTCTCAAATGTGCTCTGTCTAGTAATTTTATCAATTGTTGCATCATCAAGACTATAACCCATGAATTGTGCTATAGTCTTTACTGAACCAGGCAGATCTTTCTTTAAATCTTCATACTTTAGGAACAAAATATTCTTGGCATCTAAAAATTGATACGAACTATAATCAGATCTATAATGTCACTATTTCATTAAACCTTTATGCCTCCACCAGCTAAGAACATGATCAAACCACAAGCCAAATTCAACTTCTCCTTTTATGAACAGCTCAAAGTAGCAATCCCAATCACCAGTAAAATTATACTCGCTATGACGCTTCGTGTGATAATAAAAGGACACAGCCACATCTTTAGGATTACGTGCAATATATATGTACTTGCCAATAGAATTAGCAGGATCTCTTCCAGGCATCATGTCATATGGTAAATGACTTTTTAGAGTACGAGGAGGTGAAAGAGCCTACAAATGTATGCAAATGCTAAATGCATACACTGAGTATGAATATAAAATCTTACAAATGCAGCCTCTTTTCCTATTATTTCTAGCCAGGGTATAACTTGCATGAGATGAGACTGGTTCTTCTCTCCTCCCCTCTGTATCAGTGCAACAATCTGCTGTGTCCACGTTGTGCCGGATTTTGCATACGTGACAATGTAGAGGTCACCAGGAGAGATCGGATAGTCAGGGATCTGGGCTATCCAGTTCACATCTAGTTCTATATCAAAGGGAATTCCATTGTGATAGTTCAACAGAATGCTGCTGTTGGACATTGCTAAAAAAGCAGAGCCCCTCCCCCTCCACACAAACGCCTCTTTTTGCAAAATTTAAAAGAAATTATTTTAAAAAGATAAAGAGCTTGAATTATTATGTATAAAAAAATGTAGCAAATTCCTCAAGCAGTTGGATCTGCAGATAACAACTTAATGTCAGACGCTACCATCTCCTTTACCAAATCCTATTAATTATAATAATAATTACAAGGACTTTGCGATGTTCATTTTCTGTACCTCAAATTCAATTTTTGGTTCCCAGCCAAGTATAGCCTTTGCCTTGGCAGGATTACCTTGAAGAAAGTCCTAATATTTAATAAAAATAATTCTTTAAAATAAGACTATACAATGAAAAAATCAAGTAAAAATTAATGTATAAGGCTGGTAAGATAAACTTGCTATTATAATTTGGCATCCCTAAAAATTGCTACAAAGGATTCTCTACTAATACTCATGATGTAATGATGAATCACTAACCACTTCGGTTGGTCTGTAATACTTGGGGTTGACCGTAACACGAACAATATCATTCTGATCAACACCTACTTCATCCAAACCCTCCCCTTTCCAACTAAAAATACAAAAGATATATATTTTATCGAGTGAATTTAATTGCATATTAATTATTCGAAAGAAAGGTATATTTTTACCTGATGGTAAGACCAACTTCTTTAAAAGCTAGTTCCACTAATTTCTTTACACTGTGTGTTTTATTAGTAGCAATGACAAAGTCATCAGGTTTGTCTTGCTGAAGCATCATCCACATTGCCTTTAAATTAAATTAAAAAATAAATAATAAATAATAATAATAATATTGTTACTGTTATTGTTTTATTGTTGTTGTTGTTATTATTACTGTTGTCGTTGTTTATTATTAGTACAATATTTTTGTTATTTCCATAAAAATAATTTTAATTTTATTTTATTTATGTACTATTTAAATCAAAAAATAATAATAATAATAATAAATAAAGTAATAATAATAATAATAATGACTAGTAAAATGACTAATATTAATAAATACAATTACCTTAACATAATCCTTCGCATGCCCCCAATCTCTCTGAGATCCAAGATTACCTAATGAAAACTGAACCAAAAAAAATTTTTTTTTAAATTGCTTAAAATAAATTTTACAATGCAATTGTAAACTAACTGATTCTCTGTGTCCCAAATGAACTTGAGCAACACTTCGAGTTACCTTACGAGTTACAAAATTCTCACCTAAAAATAAGAACATTAATACAGGGTTACCCACAGGGCTTTGGCATAGCAATCATGCGAATTGTCAAGTTACTCAAAAATTGATAAAAATCAAAAGGAGAGGAAACTTTATTTTTATCATTTTTATGATACATATACAGGTACATATGTTGTGTAGAAAGTTTGAGCTGATTGCGATCAAATTTTAATTCACTAAGAACTTTTAAAGTTACTCAAAAATCGGGCCAAAGTCCCTGTGCTATAGTACAGGGTACTTGGCCAAATTTCACCAAAAATGACTAGGAGAAAAATTTCCATTAGAAAATTTTTTCTAATACATATACATGTACTTATGTTGTGTAGAAAGTTTGAGCTGATTCCGATCAAATTTGAATTTTTAATAGATTTTAAAAGTTACTAAAAAATCGGGCCAAACACCCTGTACTACAGTACAGGAACTTTGGCCAAATTTTGTCAAAAATGGCTAGAAGAGAATTCTTTATTTTTATAATTTTTTTCTAATAAATATACTTGCTTTTATGCTATGTAGAAAATTTGAGCTTATTTCAATCAAGTTTAGATTTTTTATGAATTTAAAAAGTTGTTCTAAATGTCATATGTACCTGTATTGTAGTGCCTGTCAGCTCATGAAGCTCATGCTGTTTAGCTCACTTAGCATGCTTTGTGGGAAACCCTGCAATAATTATGCTTTAACAAACGAATAGACCAATTAAAATATCAAGGAAAACAAATGATAATGGAAGAAAAAATGGCAAAAGAAGATTATTAGCCCTATAACCTCTTCTTGGGCTCTCGTGGTTGAACAAGATTCCATTGCAGGCAAACATGTCATAAGCTTCACGATAGTTGACTACAACCCAATAGCCGTATAACTTTGCAGCAGCTAAAAAAATTAATGATAATAATAATTACAATTTACCTACACATGTACAGTACATGCACGTACCATATGGCGAGCGAGGATAAAATGGAGTTTTTTCGGTTTGTGGAATTTCCTGAACTTTACCATATAATTCACTAGTTGAAGCCTGAGAGAGAGAGAGAGAGAGAGAGAGAGAGAGAGAGAGAGAGAGAGAGAGAGAGAGAAAGAGAGAGAGAGGGAGAGGGAGAGAGAGAGAGAGAGGAAAGATGGAGTGGGTGAAAAAAGAAAAAGAAAGTGATTAATTTGGAGGATGTGGGAAGAAGTGGAAAGCAGAGATAAAAGATAAAGGTAACACTAGTGTGAGAAATTGTGCATAATTATTATTTGATAAAAGTATCTTTTCACATTGCCCACGTACATGTACACAGACACACATACACATAATATCATACACAGTTTGGTCATTAAAGTCAAGAGTATCTTGCTACAGTGAAATACCCACACCTATAGTTTATCATAATTGGCCCTTCTTTGAAGCAACTTTAAAAAATCATAAAAAATCTAATTTTGATTGGAATCAGCTCAAACTTAAAACAATAACATAAGGACATGTATATGTACCAAAATAAATTATAAAAATGAAGAATTCTCTCCTGGTCATTTTTGGCAAAATTTGGCCAAGAACCCTGTACTATAGTACAGGGACTTCGGCCCAGTTTTTGAGCAAATTAAAAAATTCATAAAAAAATTAATTTTGACCGGAATCAGCTCAAACTTAAAACATAACATAAGGACATGTATATGTATCAAAATAAATTATAAAAATGGAGAATTTTCTCCTAGTCATTTTTGGCGAAATTTGACCAAGTACCCTGTACTATAGTACAGGGACTTCGGCCCAGTTTTTGAGCAACTTAAAAAATTCATAAAAAATCTAATTTTGATCAGAATCAGCTCAAACTTAAAACATGACATAAGGACATGTATATGTATCAAAATAAATTATAAAAATGGAGAATTCTCTCCTAGACATATTTTGCAAAATTTGGTCAAGTACCCTGTTATAGTACAGGGACATTGGCTCAATTTTTGAGCTAGTTCAAAAAATCCAATTTTGATTGGAATCAGCTAAAAATCTAAGCTAAGAGCACCTACATACATGTATCAGAATGTATTATAAAAATAAAAAATTATTTCCTAGCCCCCCTTTCAAAAATATTACCCTGTTTCTTTTAGGCACTGCCTCCCATTATAATCACCAATACATGTACTGAGATACATTCAGTCTATAGTGCATTATGTATGTGTGTGTGTGTGTGTATAAACATATATAATGAGTGTATTCTCTTTCTCTCTCTCTCCAGTAAAGGAAGAGGCTGCTCAAAGATAAAGGAAACAATGCTTTCCTTATTTCATGACTCTTTCCCTAAACTGTCTAACGATAATAAACACTTTAAGTACAGAAGGAAATAATGAAAAGGTGCATACAATTCCTAAAATGAGTCTTTATAAAAAATTAATGCTAAAGAGCACCTTTTTAAAAATGCATTTTAAAAAATTCACACCACAATAGGAATCTTTCTACAAGGCGTATTACATGCATGATGAAATTTGAGATACTTTCGGAACCAATTTTAGAAATAAAGGAATGCTCTTTAGAAATTGGCATACTTTTAGAACACCCATAACTTGAATAGTTCTAATCAGAATGACACAAGGATATGAAATATTTTTTTACTAACTAAATACTTAATCCTGTGACATATGCATGTACATGCACTTGACCTAAACCCTGAAATACTTGCATTACCGTACAGTGAGTACATAATAGACACATTAATTGAGACAACAAAAGGCAAGGAACTAACAAAAAAGCATAGGCCCTGGTTTTTGGTTCATGCTAGACCCAAGGGCTAAAATAAACACGCAAAAATCCATTGACAAACACAGCTGTGTGGCTCAACCAGGGCTGCATGATCTACCCATTGTCCTTAGCACCTCTCTTTCCAAAGACCTCCTTCCTCCTTTTCTCTCTCTCCTCTTCCTCCTCCTGTGGCCAGTATAAGTGCCCTAGAGTAAGGCTGGCTAGTACATGTAGGCAAGTAGGGTTATGTAAGGTGTGAGTGTTGATGGGTAACAGTAGGCAGCTGTTAAAGGTGGGGCCAGACAGAGTCTAAGTATATTCCTAACCTCTTTATTTGACCCTCTGCTTTAGGAAATGGTCAGGGAGTGTCTAAGAATTAGGTCATTTACATCAATAAGGGCCAGTGGGTTATCAGATCACCAACACACACACACACACACACACACTGTCACATATACCACACTCTGTCCAGTTTCCATTCCATCCTCTGTATTATGGGGTCAGTCATGTACATGTACATTGCATGCAGACTGAAACTAAACAGAGAAAGTGTCATATTTTCTATAAAGTGCAGACAGTCCCTCAAAGTGAAAGCTCACACAAAAAATTTTTTAAATTGTAAAGTGCGAAGACAATACACGCTAGGCATTAGGGGCAGTTTTTAAAATGAAAGGAACAAAAAATTAAAATAATTCAATAAAGACTAGCTGTTAGTAGAAATGTACTATAGACACAACATGAGTTTAATTATGAACCAGTAACCAGGCATTAAAAATATAATAATTATACACAAGAGCTGTAATATAAATTATAAATGGACTAGCTGCTACAGGGAAAATTACAATCTTTCGTATTTAAAATTTCAAATTGTAGTGAAAGAAATAAATTTAATTATGAAAGAAATACTATTTCAGGTCTTCTGTGTGTCTAATATTGATGTTTAAGAAATATTTTAAAAATTAAATAAATAAAATAATATTGAGCTGAGCTGACACATGCACACTTAAAATTCCCAAAAAAACATAAAGGCTTTGGTGTAGCACAGTTATACATGGACAATATTACACACACACACACACACACACACCAAAGAAAATGAGTGGAATGCAAGGATCAAAGACAACAAATAACCAATGAGAAGTAAAACTAGATCCTTCATTGGCAGGGTGTTCCTAAAGCTCCTTCATCTTCACAGCCTTCACAAAGAGACTGAAAGACCTTCACTTATAGCAACCATGGTGACTAATGCTGGTTCAGAGTACATGGGCTGCATTAAAATTGCAATTACTGTATAGATCTTACAGAGAACAAACAGAGAGGCTTTACAAAGAGTTATTTCCCCAACAAACCTCGCTAACATAACACTAAGAGATCACTTATTTACACAAACTAAGGGCCTAATCCACTGACAGTATAGCTAAAGACACTTATCAAAGAAAACACATTTAAAACAACAGGAAACATATGTACAGGCTAAACCAAGCAAACATTTTAAATGTAACACTGACACCACATTAAATGATTAAAGTACTGAGACACACAAAACATGATGATGGATATAAATAATAATTAGAAGCTGTTGGAGCTAATTTTCCCTTGCCAATAAATGATGCTACTAGCTTACAGTGGCATAGCTAGAATAAATGAAGAGTGAGGGCACAGTGGGGGACTGAATAAAGCAATACTCATGAACACTTAATATAGCAAGCTCAGTTGAGTCAGTTATAACTTGTATCCCTTCATTCTCCTGCCTAGTTGCAAGGGCACAAGAAGCAGTTATGAGGGCACTTGCCCCCACAGGCCCCTATGTAGTTACGCCACTGCTAGCTTATATAACCTCCTAATATCAATATTAACAATAAAAGTGGTGCATTTTATATTACTAAGGGAGTGCATATTGAAAGGTTGTGTGTGTGTGTGTGTGTGTGTGTGTGTGGACTGTGGAAATGTCTTCTCCCTTAGCAAAGCAGTAGACATGCTTTCACACACACAGCCCCCACACACATAAATGATACATAAAAACAATATCATCATCAAAAGATTACACCAATATAAAGTTTACTTCCTTTTATTGCAATACACCTCCCCGCACAAGACATAATATGTACATACATGTACATGTATGCACACTGTGTTAGATCTAGAGGGAGTTTAAGAGACTTTTGGTCTACCATATTTGGGCTAGGCCTCCTGAAAATTTCCCATTATGTAGCTTTTGGTCCCTTAACATGTGTTTAACCTACAAGGGTGGTCTTTAAGAACTCAACTGATCTATAATTAAGAATAGCAGGTTTGACTAAACTGTGACACAGTACATTCATGAGCACATGCAATATAAGGAGGATTGATTGCTTCTTTTATTTTTATTAATGTTATGGCTGGAAGACATTCTTTAGTTATGACTGAAGAAAGAGGGAGGAGGAGGAGGAAGAGGAAGTCTGTTAGTTTTGTGGCCAATTTGAGTGAGTGTGTGGTAGCCTTTGATTTACATGTACATGTACACGTATATCCATGTACATGTACATAGCTCATGTGGAGAAAAGGAAAGAAAGAGAGAGAAGCAAGGAATTTGGGGGTTGATAAAAAGGCATAGAGTGGGTAGGAGCTGAACTGTAAACAGAGGCAATGGTTTGATGAGGAGGAGTCCCTTAGCTCAGTACTGGGATACCCTATAACCCACAGGACCTCTCTCTCATATAACTATAATACAAAAACCTATTAATTGTAACAAGCAAGAAGAGCAGTAAATATTAAATATAGTTTTCCTTAAAAAAGCTTGAGAATATTAATATAATTACTATCCATCTACTATTTGATCCATCACACGTGTATGTACATGTATTATAGGTTCTGGTACCTGATAGAACTTCACTTTCTTTTCCAGTCCGCACGTCCTGATGGCATCCAAGAGCCGAAGAGTACCAACCCCATTAACATCAGCAGTGTACTCACTCATATCAAAGGAGAGCTAATGTAAAAAAGAAAAAAAAATAATACAATTATTTTCTGCCTGCAAGTACATGCACACGTATGATGAACTAACAGCACAAGCACATAAAGTATAATGACTCCATTATTGCTATTTATAATGATAGAGTGTATAAAGAAGATGGATGTCCAGTATTTGTATACTTAGTGAGGTGGGAAACACAAAAGATCAACCGACTACTGTACATGTTCAGTACAAGACACTGTGAGGGATTTAATTCAAACAGAACAACAAACAAAATAATTATAATTATTATACTTAAGTTTGATTTGAATTATGAGAATATCCATGCAAGCATAAAATTAATGCATAAAATAAATAAAAATTATCTGCTTGTCTGGTCTCTTAAAAAACATTAATAGGTAATCTAATCTGATACAAGTATATTAGATGGCACACAACAGATAATAGACCATACACACACTCACATACACCATTACTAACATCATTATCAAAGACATTACCACCAGATCCATAGGCCATTGACCGCCCAAACCCTCTCTAAATGAGGAGGGGGCAGACTCACAAATGAGAACACTAGAAGGAGCTATAAAGGAATGACCTGCCACAAAGCCTTAGACACACAGCCACTCATTGACAACTCAAGCCACAAGCAAGCTCCTATTGTAAGATAGTCCATCCCCCACCACTTCGCATTGTACCACAATAAAATCCCACACACACACACACACACACAAGGTGTACTCTCTATCTCCTTCAGTGCCCAATGTATTATAATAGAGCTACATAAGCTTCGTGGCACACCCTTACATTGAGCATAGTGACCAACTCTAATGGAGCAACTTGTAGCACACCTGCATCATGATAAAGAATGGAAAACTCATTATTAGCGGACCTCTAAATTATAATGCACGTATAGGTTGAATATTAAGCAGTACTGCAATATACATGTACATGTATATATACATGTAATACACATGTACATGTACATGTATAAAGTCAGTACCATCAGTTGGGAAGAGAGAGAGCTGCTGTGAGACACATAGCTAATGTCAACAATCAGGTAGAGTGGTATGTTATTTTATGCAGAAAAAGAATGAAAGAGAAACCACACACGAAACATTTGAGGTTGTGGTCAAACAGATCAAAGCTAAACTACAGAGAGAGAGAGAGAGAAAGAGAGAGAGAGAGGTATGGACAAAAAGAGTAGGTAGTTTTAGAGGGCCAGCCATTTTCCCTCCAAACCTTATAATAATACAAAGACCACATCAGAGGAATGTGAAGGATTATCCTCTTAATCTATGACCTCTCTCTCTCTCTCTCTCTCTCTATCCACATCCCAGTACACGACCCATTCAGTTTTTAACTGCTACAACCATAATACCATTCAGCCATACAGATAAAAAGATTAAATCATTTATTGTCCAGTAATTGAGCAATAAATGTACATGTACACATAAATGTGTTCCTATGTTCATCGACCATTAATGTGGACAGTAAACAATTCATTGCTATATAATGCTTGCTCTCATGTCAAAAGAAATGCTATCAATTTAATAAGCTGATGATCAAACTATCAATAATTGAAGATGGGACTCCATGATGTGTGACATCAAAGTGATCTTGTGCAGCCAAGCATACATCATCAAGAGCTCAAAAATAAAAAATAAATAAACACTTGCTGACAGTTTGCACATCAACACCATCATCATCAAGTTTATTTAAAGCAAAGTAATAATAATATTCATGCATCATGTACCAGTTGAGTTGCTATATACATGTACATGTATATGTATATTTACCTTTACGTGACTCTGAGCAGCTAAATTATAAATCTCAGTTGGTCTTATCTGAAAAAGAGAGAGAGAGAGAGGAAGAGAGAGACAGAGATAATTAAAATGAAGCTGATAGTTTGTAAATATCGATACATATCATAATCTATGGCCTAGCAATTAAAATCTAGAGCATCTGGATAAACGAGTTTTAGGACATGCATTAACATAAAACAAACAAAAACCTAAAATTAATAATTGGACAACTGGACTACATGTAAGCATGGCCCTAAGAGCTACAGTATAAATACAACACTGCATGGAGTGGAGTGATTAATAATGTAATATCACATTACCATTATGCAAACCCTTCTCCTCCAAAAACTAGAGCCAACCAAAAAACAGCAACAATGAAACCACACACATGAAACATATGCAATCATTGTGCACACATAAAATACATACACCATACATCTTATAATACATGTACATGTACATGATGCATGTACACGCATGTCATACATGCACACGCACGCATGCATATACATGTACATGTATGGAGATGGTTACTCATAGTTGAGGCTAATAAAATAAACATGTAATGAATGTAAAATCCAATAGTACATGGGGTCAATGTTATTTTAACGATCCTAATATGTAAAGTGAGGAGTCACTGGGTTTACACTTTCAATATAGCAAGAGGAGGCACAAGACCCATGGACATATGGTCAGATTATACTGTAGGGAAATGAATATTATTAATTTATTATGCATGTATAGTAAGTATAGATTTGTACAATATAAATATGGTACAATATGATACAGGGTTCTGCCTAGAAAAAAGTTGAAGGTGGTTGGAAACTAATATTGTTCCTTTTAAATTTATATACAGCATACTAGTAGACTACAATATCATGCTTTATGTATGGTCATTAGTATTAATTGGATGGTTATTAGCATTAATTGCATGGCTATTAGTATTAATTGGCTGGTTGGTCTAAGTGATGAACAGGTTGGTTCATTTGTTGAGGAAGTTGTCCTGACCAACCCCAACCACCAAAGGCAGAACTATGATTATACTATAGGAAAATGAATATACCATGTATGTATATAGTAAGTATATAGCTTTGTATGGCTACCTAATTCTAACCTCAAATATGAAGTACAAAGTCTGAGGGTCACACTATGTTACAAGTGAGGATTATACAAGGTGGATGTGTGTGTGTATGTACGTGTACTTGCATGTATATTTAACAATGTGTGTGTATGTGTATGAGCCATTTTATTTATTTAAAGTTATTCGATTGTTTATTATTATGCCAACTGGATTGCTACTATGGTAACAGGCTGTGGTGTGTATATGTTAGTAGTAGAGAGAGTGAGAGAGAGGGAAGTGTATGTTTGATGTGCAACGTAAAAGCAACAATGAGAAAAAAACCAAACGCTTTAATATAACAAAATGAGAGAAGAAAAAGAAACAAATATCACCTGGAAGGAGATTGTAGAGAGAAAGAGAAGAGAGAGAGAGGGGGAAGGGAAAGGAGAATGAGAGAGAGAGAGGGGAGAGAGAGAGGGGGAGAGAGAGGGGGGGAGAGAGAGGGGGGAGGGGCACTGACTTCAGAGACTAGTTTAACGAGACAGGAACTATCAGTAAGGTCACCATAATGAAGGAGCAGACCTATAAAAAAAATGGAGAGAATCACTTCAAGAATAAGCTCCTCTAAATAAAAACTAGCAGACAAACAAAACAAACAATAAAGAAAACAACAAAACAAAACTATAATAACTACCATGTATGTGTACTGTGCACCATTCCCATGTACATGTACATGTATATAAATACATAAACACTTGAAGACTGCATGCTAATGTGAGTAATAAGTGAGATTATAAAACCATTTAAACCACATATATGACATAATACACAAGAGCATGTGAACATCACATGCAATGGAGGCCTACTTAAAGAAATAGAGAGAGAGAAAAGCATGGGGAGAATAGCAAACACTAGTGGTGATGGCCTCAAAGGCTAAATCAACAATGATCCTCCTACCAGAGACAGACTCTTGGCAGCATGTTTTAACTAGCTGCTTAATACCAACAGCTCTGGCTTGGAAACAAGCCAAAATTAGGCTGCTGATAAGTACAGCTGTAAATTAATTAATGATACCACATTGGAAGAAACTGACAAGTAGAGGAAATGAAATTTTAGCGAGGTTGTGAATGCCAGCTGAGAAAAAAGAGAGCTAGTAGAAAAACATGCAACATGTACATGCAAATTGAACTATACTAAGAAGTTACATGTATTTACATGTACAATTATATGTAATTCATACACTAACAGTACATGTAGCAAATGAAAGTCTATGTACATGTACATGTATTTTGGAGGGTAAGAGTAAAATGAAAAGGAGAGAGTGGAATCAGTAGATGAAGGAGGAAGAGAGAGAGAGAGAGGAGGAAGGATAAAGGGAAAGAACATTAAAAGAAGCAAGAGATAAGGAAAGAGAAAGAGAATGAAGAAAAAACAACAAATAAAGAGAAACAGCAACTTTGCAAGGAAAGAGAGAACATGTCAGATTATAATATTAACTAAAAAAGGAGAGAAGGATTACATACACAGGAGAACACTGAAAGAGGCAAGTACATTATGTCAAGATTAAGAATATCCAAATTAATAATATCATAATTTACATTTATATCATATATACACATACATATGTATGTTGCACATGCACATTCATATGCTACACACACATAATGAGAAGCAGTAATAACATGAACAAACAAAAATATTGTTTACCCATCACAAAAGACAGATGTGATCAATCACTGTAATACCATCAATCAAAATCACATTCATCCACACACACAACACATGATGCATTAAAAATACAATACAGTGAACTAAGCCCTGTTATATAACAAGGACCATTTAAAGGCTACAGTGTAGATATTATAATTATAAGAAGTGATGTCCATACAAGTATACGTAATAGATGCATAAAAGTGTGTGTGTGTGTGTGTGTGTGTGTGCGTGTGTGGTGGTGTGTGGAGAAGTCATCAGTCAGTTTCCATTGTGTACATAAGAGAGAGGGTTGTTGACTCAAACTAAATACCACTATGTCAAGGATGGACTGGTGGGTGAAAAATAAGCTGTCCCTGATGAAAAGTACACAAGAACGCATTACCTAGAGCAGGTGCATGGGACGTCTGACGGGACATGTTATTGTCCCAAAATAGTGAGGGGACCTTATGAAAGCATCAGACACTTAGACAACAAAGCCATTAATATAAAGGACCGCTTACATTATACATGTACATGTACATTATACATGTACATGTACATTTATATACATACATGTACATTTATATGCAATAAAGCAATGATAATATGTAACTGGCCATACATGTACACATAGCAAAAGATTTAAAATTATTATAACTTTAAGCAGTATGTATGTACATGTATGTACATGTATGTATGTGTACTTGAAATTATAATGCATATATTATACACGGTTTGTCTTCCTAGAGGCATTCAAGTGTCTAGTTTAGTTTAGCTAGTGTTATATTATTATTGTCTCAAGTTATGTAAGCTGAAGGAGACAAACTTTCATAAGTCAATACACATACAGCAAGTGCCCATACACACACAATGAGTGTACTATGAATGTGTATTTGTGTGTGTGTGTATGCATGGTTATGGATTATTTTTACACTGGAGGTTTTGTGATTACTAAACAAATAGAGAGAGGCTGATTAGACAGGCTGGGTTAGATATGATATGTATCAGTTTGTGTTTGTCTCTGTTGGTTTTTAAGAGTAAAACAGAGGAACACAAGCAATTGTTTGTGTGTGTTATGAATATACAGCATCATTAGGAATCACTGACCATGTGGACTGGAGTCCACGCATGGACTATCATTGTATTATATACACACAAACAATCAAATGACTACCAGTGCTAATGATACTCAATTAGAGAGCAAGAAGTATACATGTACATGTACATGCTATTATGTACATACAAGCAAACAATGCATGTACATGTAAATATAAATTGAGTTGTTTATGTGTGATGTGCATATGAAAGTTGTTCATTGAGAATCTCATGAGTTCTCACCTCCTCCCTCATGAAGGGCAGGGTTGCTGTACAGGTGCTTTATTCTACCAGTGTTGAATGAGCTGGACCTCCTTATGATACCATGAACCTAGGGAGAAAGAGAGAGGGGAAGGAGAGAAGGAGAGAAAGGGGGGGGAGAAAGAGAGATAGAGAGAGGGGGGGAAGAGAGAAAGGGAGAGGGGGGGAAGAGAGAGAGACAGAGAGAGAGACAGAGAGAGAGACAGAGACAGAGACAGAGAGACAGAGAGACAGAGAGAGAGGGAGGGAGAGAGAGGCATGAGAAAGGTTACAGCAGTGTGGGCGATTGTTTTTGGACATGAGGTCTGTGTGTGTGTATTTAATGCTCTGTTGACAGATTGACTACACATTAATAAATAATATTATTTATTATTTTATTAAAAAGAAAAATAAGAAAACATGCACACACACAGAGAAATACACATGCACATATACACCATATCATCAAATAAATTTAAAAAAACATACATGTAACAGTCCACATGGATCTACATGCATGTAAATACGAATGTGTACATGTACATGGAAGGAAAGTACATTACAAATAAGATATCTAGTACTATAATAATCAGCTAGAACAGTGTGTGTGTGTATGTGTGTGTGTGTATTGGCACTGAAAATAGAGATATTCCAGTTTCCCTAATGAAATGGTAAACTATCTGGACCTTTTACAAGACGGTCTCCGTTTGTTTGGTATTTTAGGGCAGATTCTGGCGTCCCCTTTATCAACAGTCACCACTTGTGATGTGACTGCACATGTTAGCTTTAGGCAGTGCAAACTATACAACTACCATATGCTACAGTACACATTACTAATGATGCCATCTGCCAAAAGAGTGCATGCATGATCATATGATATTAAAAAATATTTTCAGTTAAAGAAGAGACGTGATTTTACCAGGAGCGGTGCCATGGATATATAGACAAGGTTACCTCTTCCTCTCTCTCTCCCCCTCTTCCTCACATGCTCTCTCTATTTTCCTCTCTCTCTCACTAACCACAAATATATACACACATTAATAAGTGTACTTGGACCCTGCATGGTATACAGGATCAAGAAGGAAAATGCAACATAAACTATGTCAGTTTTCAGAACACGTAGACAAAGTTCTCCAAACTTTAATAGCAGCACAAAAAATTAATTACAATGCAAACGTACACACGTACATTGCTATAAACACATGCACATACATGTACATGGTACACAAAAACATAAATATACATATGACTGTTACATAATACTATGAGTTACTAGTACATGCACATGTACATATTAAACTATTGAGTATTACATACATGTATGTGTACTGTATTAAATCACATGCAATTTGCATGAGCCACATAGCTACACCAAATAGGGCAGAATAGAGCGTAAGTTATCAATAATAGTTATCTATAGGATACAGGCTGTATGAGGAGCCAAGTTGCATCTCTGTTATGACTGCTAAATACCACAGGTCATAATAAAAATGTGGAGAGAGAGAAAGAGAAACAGAAAGATAGGGTAGGGTATATGTAATGTTATTACTTTTATTATTATTATTATTATTATAGTTAGTTTCATTAGTATTATTACATGGATGATGGATCATCAGCCATTATAAAGGAGAGTGGATGGAGGGCTAAGGAGGAAGAGTGAGAAGAGAGGGAGGAAAGGAAAGATCAAGGAGAGGAGAGAGAGGGGAGAGGAGGGAGGGAAAAGGAGGAAGAGAGAGAAAGGAGGAAGGAGGTGAAAGATCAAAAGGGAGGGAGACACAGACACATCCAAGTGACTATACACATTGATCAAATGATCAAATCAACCACACAAAGGACTACATGCAGAAAGATCATTCAATATTAATGGAAGACCATAAAATGCAGTTCAAAAAAGATTTGTAAGTAGAACCTATGTAATAGTACTTGGCTTTACCATGCAGCATGGAGTAACACATCATGAACAAAAGGAAATGCATGTGTACAATGCATTCATTATAAAGTATTAATCTTTAATGTACATCTATACATGTGCATGTATAGTGTATATATATCATTACTCATTAATGTATGATGATGATCTAATGTACACTATCTGGTCCATAATGTACTGTATGTAAAGTGTGGTGCATTATTTAGTAGTAGTTATAAGTTAGAGCAACAGAATGTTAATGGATTGCGTTTGTGTGTGTGTGTTGTATTTTGGAAGGAATTACTTTGTAGCCTTTCTCAAGTAATAGCTCAGCCAAATATGATCCATCCTTGAAAGAGAGAGGGGAAGAGAAAAGAGAGAGAAAAGAAAAAAGAGGAGAGATTGAGGAAGAAACAGAGGAGGAAGAGAACAGAGATGAGAAGAGAAAGTGACTGAGTTTGGGGTGCAGCTATAAAGACGCCCCAAAGTCAAAATTCTATAGTCAAAAATGAAAACCCAAAAACTGAATATCCTTTGAGATCAAAGCAACACTGACCAGTAAACAAGACATAGATAGCAAAATAGGGAAAGCATCCACCAACCCCATTTCCTTCATTAAACAAACACCAACTCAAGGAATATATAATTTCCATGCTTACATACATACATATGTACATAGGCACCCACACAACAGGTCAGTTTGAATTCTACCCACACACATACAAGCTACAGTGCTTTACATGCCGTATAGTGGGAAATTTTGGAGGGGCTAAAATTTGGCGAATTGCTTAACTTTAATGATTGGCGGATTTTTAATTTGGCAAATTTGTGGCCACGTGCCATTGAGCATGTGTATAATGGCTCAAAATAGCGGATTTTTATTTTGGCAAATGGCTATCGAAATGCCAAATTCGCCAAATCCAAAATTATCTGCTATACAGTATCCATAATATCAGGGAAAAAATATTAGGAGACCGACTATAATCTCAAAACTACTCCTATGGTCTTTGATGTGGCCCAAAATATAACTATGTGTACATAGTTTATTATGCATAGCCTAGCAAAAATATAATTTTAATAAACAGTTCAATGAGGTTTCGTCTCTCTTCTCTGACTTATTCTCTTCTATTCTTCTGTCATAAATACCAACCTGTCCTGTTATGCCTGTAATCATTGCGACTTTCTCCGTCTCGTCGGAGGAGCTACGGTTTATTCTCTCTGGGAGTGCACCATTCCCTGACGCCATTTTTGCCCACGTGTTAAATAATAATAGAAAAATTAACGTTGTTAAATAATTTTAATTTAATAACCAATTATTAACTGTAATAACTTTTAATTATTATAATAATCAGTATTAATTATTATTAAATACAAAAAATAAACGAAAATCATGTCTAAAACAAAGGAAGGAGTGATGCTGATGATATGATTAATGTATGAAGCAAGGAAGAGAAAATGAAGAGAATAAATTATTGTTATTATTATTATTATTATTATTCTGGTCTCAGTTCAGGTATGAGCTCTTCTACTTTGTCAGAGAGTCTAGCCATGCACACAGAGCCATTGTCTTGCATGATATCGCCACCACCATCACTGGAAGCATCCGATGTGATATTGATAGACGTGATCTCTCCAATCCCACACCCGTTAGTAGTAGAAGGCCCAATGCTTAGCTGCCCATTGTCACCAGTGCTCTCGGCACAGGATGGTATGCTGGGTATGTCCGGGATGTGTGGTAGAGGAGAGTTCTCTGACCACTGCTGCTGCTGCTGCTTTTGGGAAGTTGACAGAGGGCTTGTAATTGCTGATGCATGTATGGGGGAGTTGTTTTGGGGGCCCTGATGACCATCATAAGGAGAGTAAATGATCTGCTTTTCTGTTGTTGCTGACGAGGTCTGATTTGTATCGGGAATGCTGGAATTGGACGTCACTTCGGGAAACATGAGGCCGGACATCCACGGAGCCTGGGAATTGAAACCATGCATGCTCCCAACAAGAGGAGAGGAGGTTACCCCACTCTGGTCCATTGACAGCATGTGGGATTGCATCCCGTGAGGCATGTGCTGAGATGGTAGGGCAGACGACATCCCCGGTACAGTGGAACCTCCCATTGGGAATACAAAGTGTTGCCCGTGGGCCGATTCCGGCTGACGTATAGCAGGATAGTGTGGTGTACATGGTGATATTATTTCTCCTTGCAAGAGTCCTCCAGCAGGCTGAGCAAACCCTCTGTGAGGGCCTGGGGGAAGGCCTTGGCTGCCTCCAGCAGCAAGGCCAGCTATGTATCCGTGGGTCCTCAGTGCATCCATTGTGCTACAGATCCCGGCGCTCTCTGGATGGTCTTCTACTCCAATAACGTCTCCCTTCTTGAAGCGCCTCTTGCGTCGACGAAAGGAGCCATTCTCAAACATTTTTAGAGCATTCTTGTCCAGCGTCCAGTAGTGTCCTTTCCCGGGGCGTCCTTGCTCTCTTGGCTGTTTCACGAAGCACTCGTTGAGGGAAAGATTGTGTCTGATGGAGTTCTCCCAGCCTTGCTTACAATTCTGCTGGTAGTAGGGGAAACGGTCTCGAATGAACTGGCAGATCTCGCTCAAAGTGGCACGCTTGTGTGGGGCACATTCAATGGACATGGCTATGAGTGCTATGTATGAGTAGGCTGGCTTTTGGAAGCGGTTGCTGCTACCTTGCATGGCCATAGCAGTAGCATTGCCACCAGCCATGAGTCCAGTATTGGAGCCTGCTGAGATAGTCTCTTGTGCCTGATTAATGGGCCATGTTCTACCAGCAGCACGACAGAGTGCCGCAGTCCTAGACGACAGCGATTGATAAGGATAGCTGGAATAAAGAGAGTAATCTGTATGTGAGCCCAAAGGCATGTAACCATTCTGTGTTGATTGGTCGTACAATTGATACATAGGGCGGGCAGTGGTTGCTGAATACTGGTTCACAGGAGCTCCAGAAGAAGCAGCTATAGATGGCTTCATGTACTGGTATGTGGGTAGATACGAGCGTTGACGTTGCTGATCCATGCTTTGATCAGGGCCTGTGGCTGCTATCATTTTAATTCTAGCTATAATAGTCTGGAAGGAGATTAGAGGGAAGATAGGAAGAGGCCTAGTCTTGTGCTGTTAACCTACATTGATGGAAAAAGAGAGAGACATTATGACAATTTTCACTTGTTAATGGTTTCATGTGAATGACATTAAATGTATTGTTTGTCATATGGAGGTAGTCTAGCATTACAAATTACCTCAATAAGAAGCTCTGCAGTCTCAGGTTTCACAGCAAGCAATAATTTCATGCACTATAGCCCAAAGCACCAGCTATGAAGGTGACACCAATACAAATATCTATATATATATATATTTGTACAGCGTTTGTTGCTTTGTTAGGAAGGAACACGAGTGATGTCTTAGCTGATCCTCTGAAAACAAGTCTGTTTTTATAGCGAGCCTCTAAGCAAACTTATGAATAATAATTATGATGCGTAAAAATTAATTTTGCCGCTCGATCGGGCGCCTTTTCAATATTTCACAAAATCCGCTAAGTGAGGGTAATTGAAGGAATACGGTATTGCTGATGAAGCCTTTAGACAAATGTGCAGCTTCTCTGTAGCCTATTCTTCACTTTAAAGACTGGCTATTAGCTTAATCAGGTGAAAATTATCATGCTCACTTCTTTATGACTCATTTTACACTTTTTTGTCCTTTAAACTCCATCTCTTTCTCTCCTTCCTCCCCCATTCCTTCCTCTTCCTTCCCTTACACAGACAAACAGCAAAATGTCTTTCAGAGAGCTGAAAGATAGTTTGTATTACACGTTCCTCGATTCAAAAGAGCGTGGTGTTAAGGAAAACCAGATTGAATTAGCTAAGAAGTGTGTATCCTCTGGAGTACTTGACGAACGTTTAGATATTTACGATCGCTACACAAAGATAGACTTTAATCGACTCATTGCACAAAATGAGGTATTTATTAGCCACACCTACCTGTATGCCAGGGTTCCCACAGGATTTTGGCATAGCGCTCAGCTTTTTGTTTGTGAATTTTTAAAATTGCTCAAAAACCGTGTACTATAGTATAGGATAGGGTATTTCGTTGAAGTATCAAGGAGAGAAATCTCCATTTTTATAATTTTTTCTTATACGTATACATGCCCTTACATTTGGTATTAATTTTTGAGCTGATTACAATCAAATTTGGATTTTTTATGAATTTTTAAAGTTACTCAAAAATTGGGCCAAAAATTCAGCTCATAAAACATGCTTTTTAGCTCACTTAGCATGTATTGTGGGAAACCCTGCTATATGTACAATATGTACTACATACATGTACATATACATATATGTACAATTGTACATGTATGTATGTAGCTTAGCCACTTCCCTTTAGTTATACCATTCATTTCCATGTATAGTATCCTCCATTGGTGACTGCACTGAATCTCCTGCTCCAATACATCACTAACCTCCTGCCTCCTAACCCACCTGCTAACTGGTGGTCCATATACACCAGAAACACTTCGTTTAAAGTTAGACTCGGCTCTGTTAAGGGAGCTAGAGAGATACTTAAACAAGCTGGGTATACTCAGGTAATGATGATGTACATGTACATGCACATACATGTACATGCACATACATGTACTTCCAAAATGTGTTGTTTTAAGTTGTTCAAGTTAAGATATTCTTTAAAAGCGTGCCAGATTAATGCATAAAGCATTAAGAAAATAAAAACAACATTGGCATACTATTATGTTGTTGTTATTTATTATTGTTATTGTTCTCATTATAGACGTCTGGAGATAGTATTACATTCCCAGAGGATAGAAGGGATGCTCCTGACAGGCAACACCTCTCAGACCTAGCAACAGAGCTATTATTAGCTCGTGTTGAGTGCGAGGGTATCATTGGTCAAGCCTACCCTAATCCAAAGACCCAGCAGTCAGTGGGCTATGCCCCACAAGGATACAATGAGCAGCAGTACAGTCAGAGAGGAGGGTATGAGCCACCGCACTCACAAGGGAACCAGAGAGGGGACCAGTTTTATCCTCAAGAACATCAGCAAAGAGGAGGAGGAGGAGGAGGATATAACCAGTCACAACATGGCCGTGGTCAGGATGGATATCCCCAGCAGCAGGGTGGGGATTATGGGAGGGGGAGTGGTGGATACAATGAATTTAATCAAGGGTATCCTGGAAATAATGAATATCATAGCCAGGGTCAACCAGGTTATAACCAACAGGGTTATAATCCTCCCAGATCAGCTAGTGATCAAAGAGGATCAGAATATGAACCAGGTTATAATCAACAAAGATCAAGTTATGATCACGAGCAATCAAGGCATGATCAACAAGGTCACAATCAGTGGAGCTCATCGTCACAACAGGGACAAGCTTATGGTCAGCCAACTGGTGATCGACAAGGATCAACTCAGGCATCAAATTATGATCAATATGGTACATCTCAACCTTACGATCAACGTGGATCCTCAGGTTACATGCATGATCAACTGAGATCAAATCATGGTCAAGAGAGACATGGTTATAATCAGCATGACCGAGGAGCTCCTCAAGACTCAGTTGGTTTTCCTTACCTACCTGATCAACACCCTCCTCCTGGTAACTACAGTAAACCAACCATTCCATCAGAAAGATCCAATCCTCCTGGCAGAGCAGTACAGACTGCAGTTGTACCATCTTCTGCCGGCCCTCGTGATTCTCAAGATAGATATCGTTATAATCAGCATGACAAAGGATCTCCTCAAGAATCAGTTGGTTTTCCTTACCTACCTGATCAATACGCTCCTCCTGGTAACTTAGAAAGATCCAAGCCTCCTCCTAGAGGAGCACAGACTACAGCCTTTCCCTCTTCTGCTGGCCCTCGTGATACTCAAGATAGATATCATTATAATCAGTATGAAAGAGGACCTCCTCAAGACTCAGTTGGTTTTAGTTACTCCCCTGATCAATACGCTCCTCCTGGTAACTCAGAAAGCTCCAAGCCTCCTCCTAGAGGATCACAGACTACAGCCTTTTCCTCTTCTGCTGGCCCCCGCGGTCCTCCTTTAGCGAAGAGGGAGTCAGATCCTTTTCGTAAGGAAAGTAGTCGTGGGGTTTCTCCCGAGCCTTCACAAGGTCCTGACAGAAGGTGAGGCGTGTTGGTGACCACATCAATGCAGCACATGATATCATTTTCAGTTTGTTATGATGTAAACTTTCAATTAATGATACACATAAACACTGACACACTCCAAGTAAACAGTTGCAGCATGTCGCATGCATGTGTACATGTGTAGCTTCAATCATGTCCCTTGTAATGAAAAAATATCTTCATTGCCCACGATTTGGAGCCTTCCCTCTAGCATAGTGGGCTCTCAGTGTTGCTTGCATTGTCTTTTAATTGAGTATTGCCTTTTCGTAATGCTTTGAAAAGGAGGAGGTACTTCTATAGTTTTGTGGTTAGGAAGTAAAGTTGATATTGTTTTTTAGAATAGGCATGAGCAGCAACTGGATGTGTTAATATGCACCCATTCAGTTCCCTTGCCAGTATTGCTCAATAGCCTCTTTCTCTCTTTTCCAAGTTTTCCTCTGCCTCCTTTTGATATATGATCTTTGTTTATTTATTTACGTTGTTGTCTTGACTTGTCTGTATAGTCAATGCAATACATAATTATTATTAATATTTATGATGCTTTTTCTATAGTTCTGGTCCTCAAGAGCGTAGCTACTCAGGTTCTCATTCTGGTTCTGGTCCTCAGTCTTTTTCTAAAGGTAACTCTGGGCCTCAGTCAGAGACACACAGTAAGCCCAGCAGTGGTAATCAGTCAGAAGACGGTAACACCAGTATCAACGATGGAAGCATTACCTCTAATCCCTCCACCCCTGCTTCTTCCATGTCTGCTGCTGCTTCAAGAAAGAAGAAGATGCAAGAAATGATAGAGAAAGCTAAAAAAGCCCGGGAAGCAGCAAGCAAGGAAGACATTGAGCCTTCTAAACCTAGCACTAGTGAGCCCAGTACACCTTCGGGTACTTCGACTGCTGGTAGAACTCCAGTCTCAACTGCTCCTGTTCACACTACAGGTGGAGGGCCTGATCCTCCTCGTAAACCAGTTTCATCTAGTTTTGATTGTATCAAGGAAGTAGATGAAGACTTGTGTGATAATTATCCAGCGAATGCTCACACTCCTAGCAAACCGGACCCCCATCGTGACTATCCTTTTGATCGCAAAAAGGATTCCGGTCCTCGTGAAGAACCCATTGACCAGGATGAGTCCATGTGGGCAACAAGAGTACCACAGCCTCAAGATAGGCCCGAGCCTCGTACACCATCAAGACCCCCTGAGCGGCCGTCTAGTAATGAACACAACCGGGGAGACTCAAGAACCACTTTTGATAGGGGGGCTAATCGTGAACCTTATGGAAAACCCCCTGAGCATTTGGATAGGGGGGCCAATCGTGAATCTTATGACAGACCTCTTGGGCATTTTGACAGGAGACCAAATCGTGAATCTTATGACAGACCCCCTGAGCATTTTAATAGGGGATCTAATTGGGAATCTTATGACAGACCCCCTGATCATTTTGATAGGGGGCCTAATCGTGAACCTTTTGACAGGCCTCCTGAGCCCCCAAGTGATCCTAGACATGATTTATATTCAACTAAAAGAGAAGATGAAACAGGTGGGGCTGTTGGTGAAGCTACAGGAGGGGGAGTGAGAAGCAGTGCCATGGATCATCAGTTCCAGAAATACAAAGCTGAGGCTAATTATTTTAGATCTCTGTCAGTAGAGGATCAGAGAGCTAGGTTGGAAGACAAACTGAGGCATAATGAGACAATCACTCATCTTAAGCCACACTACAAAGGTACGGACCTTTACAGTTTAACAGATAACACACACGAGACTCCACCTCCTGCTGATCAACTGATGACGATGGAAGGGGAGAGGGGAAGAGGTCGTGGTGCGGCTAAACTTGACCCGTCAGTCATTAATGATGAAATGGAAGAACAAAAGAAGAGAGACAAGATTAAGGAAGATGGACAGTTCTTCATGCATTGGCTAAAGGTAAAAGCTATTATTATTAGTAGTAGTAGTATTATTATTATTATCAATATTATTATTATTATTATTATCAATATTATTTTACATGTACTTCCATCTCCCCTTCTTTATTCTGTCTCTCTTTATAGGAGTGTACTCCGTTTGGTTTTTCCCCGGAAGAAGTACAAATTGCTCTTAAACGTAGCCCCAAGGACCCATTGCATTATCTTCAGAATAAATGGCTTGAAATCATCAAGTATGACTTTATTTTACAATTATTCTGTATGAATACATGTATTTACATATATACATTATACTCCTGTGTAAGCATCTCTCTCTCTCTCTCTCTCTCTCTCTCTCTCTCTCTCTCTCTCTCTCTCTCTCTCTCTCTCTCTCTCTCTCTCTCTCTCTCTCTCTCTCTCTCTCTCTCTCTCTCTCTCTCTCTCTCTCTCTCTCAGGAGTACAATAACAGGAGTTAAATTTGCAAAGTGTAATGAAGGATCATATGGTATACCGTCTAGAAATGAGGTCAGATTGGTATTGATTGAGTGTCAAGGAGACATAACAGCTGCAAAGAAACTCTGTGTGAAAAATAGGAAGAAAAAGGTAAAAACTACACGTACTACTGAATGTTAACTTTGTATTGCATGTACACATTTACTACTACTTCTAGTACTCTAATCCTCTTTTCATTTCTTCCTCCAGATTGATGAACTCTTTAAAAAGATTGATGGGCGGTTTCAAGTCTCATGGGATGATGCTGTACAGGCACTATCAGAGACCGAGCTTGATGTAGACAAAGCCTATTACACTGTCCAGTGCTACGGGCTCCAGGAACTCTACCAGTACCTGACGAGTGACTTTAGTAAGATGATCAAGGGAGGAAAGACTGAGATGGAGTACTTAAAGGGCCTCATCATTGAGAGAATGAAAGAGAAGGACTCTGAAGATGTGTACAATGTAAGTCTGTATACACGTACATGTATATGTATATCTGGTACATGTACATGTACATGTACATGTATGTAATGTTTGGCATAAACGTACTGTACATGCATGTGTGTCCATGTACTGATGTATTGTGCATTCCTAGTACATTATGTATTCGGACAGCTTCAGCAATCAATGGCATCCATTGAAGTTTGAGTAGCTCAGTGGTTAGATGTACAATGTATGCATGTGGTTTAGAAAGAGGCTTTAGTTGGACTTCTCTCTCTCTGTCTTGTGGAGGAGAGAGAGAGGGGGGAGGGAGGGAGGTTGGATGACTATTGTTTTGGGAGTAGTCAAACCGATCATTTTGGACTAGTTACTGTGGTCACTGAGTGTATTAGTCCTGGTTTTTAGAGTTGGTTGCTTGGTTAGCTCCGTAGAGACACCTTGTGTGGTGGTTTCATGTGATATTATGCTTCAGTGAACATTCCATGTATTATAAGATTGTACAAATGGATACCATACACATGTACATGTACATTGTATGTAGGTTCATATTGTACATGTATGACTTCACTTCATGTATTACTTTTATATTTTTATATGCTCACGGCTGTTTCTTGCTTTGTGTTTGTTAATGTCATTTTTGCTTTTAAAGAAAGATTTTCTACACAGCCAATAATATTTTTTCTTAATTTTCTGTCTCTCTCTCTATCCCAGTCTTGTCTTCGTATGGTGATGTCTGAATTTAGACTAGGTACAATGGAAAAGGCTGAGATTCTTGTAACTTTGCTGACAGAGAAGAGTGAATACCCTCTTGCCTACTACATTGATGCCACTCGGTATAATGAAGACTTGGAAACTGCTCGTAGTTTCCTCAACCAGCCTTGTACAATATGCTATGATGAATTTCCAATGGATGAAGTAAGAACAACTGATGATTTTAGTGTATGATAATGAATGTAAAGTTGTTTCATTTACATTATAAGCAAAATTTTATTTATTATTTTTATCATTTTGTGTACACATACATTTATACACTGGTATTTTACTGTGCATGTAAGGCTTTTGTTATACATTCGCATGTACACATTATGTGTATCTTTTTAGATGGTGTGCATGCCGGCTTGTGGTGAGTCACTATGTAAAGACTGCTTCAAGGGACACTTTTCAATTGCAATCAAAGAGAAAAGTGTTAAACATTTCAATTGTCCCATTTGTGGACTACCAGATGTAGGCAACAATGATCAGACACTAGAGATGAATCTTCAGCTCTTCGTGGCTATGGTAAAACAAATGGCATTGTGTCTTAGAAGTCTTACATGTATATTCATTTCAGGTAAAGCAAAATCTTGATTCTGCTGATTATGACTTATGTCAGAAAAAATTGGCTGATTTTAATCTTTCAAAAGAACCTGGATTTGTTTGGTGTACTCATGAAGTAAGCCACTAGCATTATGTATGTGTACATGTACATATGCTTTACATTTGTCTGTGTTGTTATGAAATATACACAATAAGTGTTTATCAAGTCAATTTCCTTACACCATATTGAGTCCTCCTCCCTTCCTAACAGTGTGAGAGAGGGTGTGTGTGTGTACACATTCAATGACTATCTAACCAATCTACAGTGTTTACTTTCTGTCTAGCAAATGTTTATTTTACTAACATGTGTACTTGTGTTTGGGTGTGTGTCTTCACCTAATCCTTCTCTCTTTCCTCTCCTCTTCTAGGGCTGTGGGGCTGGTTTTATTAATGATTTTAGGGATCGTAAGAAAGTGGAGTGTCCTAACTGTAAACGTCTAATGTGCTTCTTATGCAAGAAGAAGGTATTACTGATTATAATGCATGTACATGTACATTGAATTACACAATTGAATTCCTTTATCTTTCCAGTGGGAAGATCAGCACGAAGGCTTATCTTGTGATCAGTTTGCTCAATGGAAAGCTGATAATGATCCTGAAGCACAGAAAGCTGGTCTAGCAGCCATACTTAAAGAAAATGGAATCTGTGAGTACATCTAAAGCTACTATAGCCTACTAAATTTATATAGAAAAGGAGAGAGGGGTAATATACTTGTATATACGTCTGTCTTGGTTTATTTTTTAGCATGTCCTGGCTGCAAAGCTCGCTATGATCTGGCTAGAGGAGGATGTATGCACTTTCACTGCACGCAGTGTCCTCATGAGTTCTGCAGTGGATGTAATAATGAGTATCACAAGACTGCTGATGTAAGGAAAGGAGAAGGAGAGAGGGAGAGATGAGAGATGGGGAGTGGTAAAGGGGAATGGTAATATTTGCTGGAACTCCTCAGAGTTCACATGCTAAAGTTGTTATTAAAAATAATTCTAGTTGCTTATTAATGTATTTATAATTTAAATATTGGCTAAGGGAAAGAAATGATTGAAAGTGCATGCACTCTGTCTGTCATGAAATGAGGGAAAGAGAACAACAATACAGGAAGAAAATAGAAGGAAATAAAGATTTTATAAATTTATTGGCACACGCTTAACGTTATGAAAAGGAAGTGGGTGTATTCCATTATTAGCAGTTATAATTTCCTTAAGAAAGTAGGGAAAAGGAAAAGATTCACTATGCATTTCTAGTTACTATTAATAATTTATTATTGTGCAGTTACTGATATATAGTAGGTGTGTTGTTATTATTAATTTATTTTTGTGTAATTATTATGTAGGCGTGTGGTCGTCAATATTGTAAGACAGGCTCCAGTAAGCCATTGGGTCTACATGCTCACCATCCTCGTGACTGCCTCTTTTATCTGAGGGATTTCCCTGTTGATCAGTTGCAAAAACTACTAAATGACAATAATGTTAAATATGATACAAGTGAGTGATGGATCAGAAAGTAATTGCACTAAAATACTTGTGCTAAAATAAGGCTCTTTAATTTTCAGCTAGCCTAATACATTGTCTGATAAGTTTCTTATTATGCCATAATTTAGAAAAATAGTCATAACTGTAAAATAACAGTGATGTACCACGACTCCGTGAGCGCCAATAGAATTTTCACCTTTTAGTGAGCAGAGATATGACTTATACATACTACTAGAAATCATTATGTCATTTTTGGTGAACATTATTTGGCTAAGATACATGTACATGTACGTGTTTTCTTGAGCTTACAACTATCTTTGTCTTTGTTTTTTGTACCTACAAATTTGCCCAAAAATGACGAAAAGAGAATTATTCTTTTTTACATGGCCTTGGCCTTAGCTTTGGTCTCAAGCCAAGTTTTGTCAAAAATGGCTAGGAGAGAATTCTGCATTTTAATAATTTTTTCTGATACATATACATGTCCTTATGCTGTGTATCAAGTTTGAGCTGATTCTGATCAAATTTGGATTTTTAATGAATTTTTTAAGTTGTTCAAGAATCAGGCCAACCTTTAGACCTTTGGTCTTTTGTCAAAAAATGGCCAGGAGAAAATTCTCAATTTCATAATTTTTCTGGCACATATACATGCTCTTATGGCTTATGCTGTGTTTCAACTTTGAGCTAATTCTGATTAAAGCTGGAATTTTTTAAGTTGCTTAAAAATTTAACCAATGACCAAAGACTATTAATAAATAACCTTTGGTCATTGGCCAAATTTCAACTAAGATATAGGTTTGTTTAAACTCAGCACTATATTACTTTTAGACCCACCAGAAACTCAAGTGGCAGCTACAAAAGAAATGAAAGAGAAAGGCACTCCTCTGGTACCTGTTGATAAACCTGAAGCACCTGGACCTGATGGAGAACAAGGAGATATACCAAAGCCTCCAGTCCATGTTATTGATGGCGAAGAGATTGTACTCGTCTGTCAGGTCATGTTGCAGAAGGAAACACCTGATGGCCTCAAAGATGAAGAATGTTTGAGATCTGCCCCTGTTGGCATGGCTGGCCTCTGCGAGTGAGTTACCGTGTCCCAGCAGCTTATGCTAGCCCTCATTTGGAATTTATCTATTTTTCCTTTATTGCAGGGTCCATTATAAGGAATATTTGGTTAATAAGATTAACAAAGAAGGATTGGACCCTGTTGAGATGTATGGTATACATCAGGTGAAGCTGATTTTAAGGAGAGAAGAGCTAGAAGTTCCTGAGGAAGAAGATGATGAAGGCGAAGAGCAATACAAAGGAAAATTGATTGAGGTAGGACATTAGATCTACTGAGTAGCAGCCAATGTGAATTTGGCAAGGAGGGGCTGGCGTGGGGGAGTAGTTTTTTGTTGGAAGCAACTAATTTTTGTTTTTGTTTTTTTAGATTATTAAGGAAAAGATTCCAATTGTTAAGAAAAATCAGGACCAAGCTGCTCAGTAGTTTTATGACTTTATAATGTTTGGTATAATAATAATTAATAATTTGTGTGTAGCTTTATTTTGTGAGTGGGCGTTGATTTGGAGCAAACGTAACATGACGTAGCTAACAAAAAGAGGCCGAGCCCGGGGCGTGCGAGTATTATTATCTTTTGAAAAGTTAAGCCCTTTCAAGAAGCACAGAGGTGCCATGAAGCGTTCTTCTTCCCCAGTTAGTTTAAGCAGTAGCAGGACGTCTCTCTCTTCAGTAGAGTCTAGAAGTGGTTCGTGGGTCAAGTATCTACCCCCAGACGCCTCCTCTCCTCAATGCGTACCAAACTTGAGCTGGAGTTGCTTGAGAAACTTTCTATTCCCCGTAGAGGCTCTCTTCCTTCTAGGGATGTTCGTGTATTTTTATTTTAGTATATCTTATCGACAGTATATATTTCAGCACATTGCCCGTGACAGTACTGATAGGATTAATGAAACTGAAACTTCTATTTGTCTCAATCAGACTTACATCACTGATTTGACTAATTCAACAACATTTGTTGCCATCCAATCTCATGTTAATCTCATCAGCATGGAGACCGAGATAATATATTTAGTGCTTTCCGGCATTGTTTCTCTTCTATTAGGATCAGTATCTGATGTGGTCGGGAGGAAACCAGTTTTTGTAATTGTATTTGCTGGAATGATATTAACATCCATCTCTCAGATCTTCATAGTTTATTTTGATGCCCCTCCACGCCTCTATTTGATTCCGGCTTTCCTTTTTGGTATTTCTGGTGGTCATGCTGCCCTCATTGGTCTTGTTTTTGCTTCCGTCTCTGACATGACTGCTTCAAAGAAATGGCTCACATTTCGAATGGGTATAGTGGAGGCTGCCCTCACGTTAGCACAAGGCACTAGTGCACCTGCTCTTAACGAGTGGATACAGAACAGTGGGTGCAATTTCCGTCCAACTGTCTGGCTAATGCTCTCAATCACTGTTCTTGCAATGTTCTTCCTTATTCCATTTCCCGAGTCTAAGGCAAAGGATCCCGCAGATAAGGATCATTCCAATTGGGACAGGTTTTCCAGGATTTTTAGTGGATTTAAAGTATTCTTGCAACCATCAAGTATTGGATATAGCAAGTGGTGGAGGTTATGCTGTGTACTTTGTGTTGTTGTACTGGAGATTATTACTCTCATTGGACTGGATCAAGTATTAGAGTATTTCCTTCACAATGAGCCACTCCAATGGGGCTATACAAGAATTGGATACTATAAAGCCATTGCAGCTTTTTCCAGAGGTGCCTGTCTTCTTTTCCTTCTCCCGATATTAATTATATTAAAGTTCTCCAACCTTGTCATATGTCTCATTGCTTGCGTCTTTGCTGTAGTGACTAGCTGCATGATTGCAACAGTAAGGGCTAACTGGGAAATGTATGTTGGTAAGTGACATCCTGTACTTGAAATTAAACTTTACATTTTTATTAGCTGGAGTATTTGGAGGGGTTTCTTTTATCACTTTTCCTGCCATACGCTCAATTTTAACGGAATTAGTTCCTTCGCAAAACTTAGGTATTCTAGTCTTGATTATTGTTACAAATGGCATTAAATTTTTTATCGTATTTCAGGTGCAGTATTTTCCATCACAGCCTCTCTTCAGACATTAATATCAATTGGATCAACAGTGCTTTATAACGAGGTCTATCATCCACAGGCAAATATTAAAGGACACACTTATCATGCTGGCACTATGTTTTGGATTGCTGCTGGGTTTTGGGGAGCTACCATTCCAATACTACTGTAAATTATTGTGTTATAACATTTTGAATTAAATTTTATTCAAAATAGGCTGCTCCTTCTATGCAGACCTAGGAAAAGCCTCCGAAATGCAGAAAAGAGAGGATTATTAGAAGAAAGTGAAAGAACGTCCGATTACAGTTCATTAGCATATTCAGTGAATAATGGTTGATATTATTTTCAAATTTTTAACTTTTGTGTGTTTTTGATGTGGAATTTTTACAATATAAAAGCACCACCCACTTGTGTATGTAAACTGCAAAGTCACGAGGAGATAATTAATGCAGGGAGCCCCACCCTCGTTTGACAAAGGGCCTAGGGATGGAGGGGAAAGGATCTCTAGTCAGTTCTGATACAGTGAAGCTTGCTCTTTCTGACAAACAAGGAGATGCCATGGCCACTTGGACTAAGTGGAGAGGCCGTTTGTTTATCATAGAGATATACATGTCTCTTTTTATTCTCCAGTTCTTGACATCGAGTCAGCTAATACAGCAAAACATATTCCAAAAGTTTGCTCGTGAGACTCTCTCAGAAACACATAACTACACCGCACCCAACCACTCCATCTGTCTAAAGCAAGACTACATCGTGAGTGCTACTGGTAACAATGATTCCATCATAGAGATACAGAAGAGAGCCAATAATTTGGCTATGTATCTTGAGGTCATTGGTCTGTGTGCATCTGGTGTCATGGCTCTGTTTTATGGTTCATTGTCAGATATCATTGGTCGAAAGCCTATTCTAACAGTGGCGTTGATTGGGATGACAATAATGTGTGCTATACAATTTGCTGTCATTGAGTTTGATCTCAATAACTATAGTATATGGCTAATAGTTGCTGCTGGTATAAACGGATTTCTTGGAGGGACAGCAACAATGTTAGGCGTCTCCTTTGCCTCTGTCAGTGATGTTACTTCAAGAAAATGGCGAACACTACGTCTGGGTACAACTGAGTCTAGTATAGGCTTTGGTAAAGCAGCAAGTTATACAGTAGTCTATTATTGGATCAACAGTAATGGCTGTGATTTTAAAGGTCCAGCATACACCCTAATTGGAATCGTACCTTTAACATTCATTTACTTGATATTACTACCAGAATCACTGCCACCAAAAGAAAGGAGACAAAACGGAGGAGGCTTTAAGAAAATTGCTAATGGCATCAAAGTATTTATTGATCCTAGCAGGACAGGTCTCTCAAAGTGGTGGAGAGTATGGGACTGTGTTGCAATAATTTCCATTGAATGTCTCTGTGTTATTGGGGTATATCAAGTTATCAACTATTTCTTGCACAATGAGCCACTTCAATGGTCTTATGAACTCATTGGCATCTATGGCGTTGTAACTGCCCTTTCTACCGTTGTTACTTTAGTGATCGTTCTTCCTTTGATGATAGCTCTACCTATTCCTAGGCAGTATATGAATCCTTCATTCATACTGCTTGCATCTGTGATTGCCGTTGTCACTAACATCATGATGGCTACGGTTAAACATGGTCAAGATTGGGAAATGTTCCTTGGTAAGTGGTCAACATTATATAAAGTATTCAAAACAATTTTTATTGTTTATAATTTATTAGCTGGAACAGTTCAGACTTTACAAATGATTGCATTCCCATCAGTAAGGGCTATACTATCAGGTCTTGTAGATGCTGAAGATTATGGTTAGTTTGCTTAGTCAGTTTATGCTCTCATATACTCACTCTATAGGAGCTGTTTTATCTATTACTGCCTCAATACAAATGTTTGGATCGGCTGGTTCAACCGTTCTTTTTAATGAGATCTATCGTCCAGAGGCTGAAGTGAATGGACATCATTACAATGCTGGGATAATCTTTTGGATCACGGCTGGTTTTTGGGCTTCGTTGATACCACTCATCCTGTAAGGACATTGATTTTATCATTTTTATAATCATTGCTGTTTCTGTTTTGCACATTTAGGCTGTTATTTAAGAAGCAAGGTGAAACTAAAACCGAAAGCGTAAAATTATTGACAGGGTCACAAGATCAATACCATACCATACAATAAACTAAGATAAACTATACTAGATTATTTTGCTATTCTATTTAATTTATTGTGTGCATTATCTCTTTTATTAAACCTTTTGCTTAATTTTGATCTAAGATATCTAGATATTCCTTAAGGCGGAGCTGTTTAAAACAGCTTGCTTGAATAGATGGATGGTGACTCAATCTCAGAGAAGGTAAAGGTGAAATTAACTGGAGTTGCTTCTTCTAGTGAAATTAAAAAATAAAATGGCAGTAAATGAAACTCACAACACTCAACTGCTTGACATGCATGGAATTCCGGAACATTATTTTGTGGGTGTGGCTGAGTCTCCGGCGCGCGCGGCTATAAATACTCATTTACTCCTATCATAGATTGTATTACTAAGTAACAGGGATTGGAAACTGATGACGTCACACGGACAGACTCTGTAATGGTAGGAAAGCAATGGAAGGACTACACAAGCTCTTCTCCTAGTCTCCAACTGTATTAATTTGAATTTTATTTACTATCGATGATGAACAGATAGGTCTTGGGAGTTCATGACTGTTCTTTGTGACGGTTAAGCATAGTTTTGTTGACAGAATCTTCGCCGCCTCTCGCGGCCCATGTTATCATTCAAATTGCCTTTGTGATGGCACAAATTAACGAATACAGCTATTATTTTTCCAAAGTGCCGTCTGTGGCTTATATAATAAGCTAAAGGCATGTGAAAAACCCTGATCTTTGTTACAGTTTTTGTCCTTTATCCTAATTTTACTTACTTTTTGTGATATAGGTTGAACAGATACGCCTCTAAAAACAGACATTTTGGGATCTTATGATCTGTATGAAGCACTAGTGATAATGAAAGTGTTTTAGTGGCACGTAGCTTTACTTGATGCATGTTTTTTATATTGACACTCTCTCAGTTTTAGTTACCCTTAGCAAGTTATAGGTTGAATAGATTTCACACCTATTACGCATGGTAAAAAAGCATGCTTTTTCTCATTTTTCTTCAAAATAAAGTGCTGTATTACAGCTTTAACAGTTTCTGATAAGTAAGCAAACCTTCAGCAACAATATAAGCTATATAACTGCCCTGGATCTGGCTTCAAGCTACACTTAATCCAGTAGTCCACTTAGTCATATTGCTCTTGTCTCAATGAGCCGGGGAAGGGGCAGAGTCTTACAAGGTTCGTCCGCACCTGCTTTCATTAATTTGAATGAGATCACGTGATCTGTTTCCTATCCCTGTTACTTAGTAATACAATCTATGCTCCTATGTTTACTCTAATATCTATGCGCGGGCACAAAACATTATTTTAGTTACGAATTCAATGGCGGCTAAACCTAAAGGAGCTAAAGGAAAAGGAGCCAAAGAAGCTAAAGCTAGTCAAAGCTTGTGGGAGATGTGCCAGGAGGTAAATGTCTTTTATTTAGTTCTTCTCGTGTCAGTTTACACATGCTGCTCACTAGTTTGAAGTTGAGAGTGAGATGATGGAAACGCGGCCTGTTCGCTGTAAGAAGGAGCAATCCGGCGTTGTTACTAAGCCCCAATTTGCGAGATACTTGGAGGACTACTTGAAGAAAGAGCTAGCGTTTACAGGCGCCCCTCCACGCGGACCAAGCTTGGTGAGACTCCAAGTAAGTGATTGGTAGTTACACATTGCATTATGATGTACTCTGCACAGGCTTACAGGGAAGTATTTGAATGCTTGGTAGACAAGTTCACTACTTACAAGCCATTGCTCGCTTCCATTAAACTGGAGTATGATCGATTCATTGATAATCAGGAAAAAAAGATCAGGGAGCTGCACCCATTACAGGTGCAAGGAATATGCAGATTAGACTTTCTGCAAGTGTCATAATTGTACCAGTCTGCATGCAATTACACTTTTTTAGTTTTAAAATACTTAGACAACTCAAATAATTGGTAATTATATATTTACTATAGACCAAGCTACTCTCAACAAAGGAGGGGTATGAAAAAAAAATCATAGCATTGAAAGAAAATGACAAGAAACGTGAGCTGCATTTTAAATCTACCGTAATACATTTAATTATCCTTATACATGTACTTGTACAGAGGATGATAAGGAGAAGCAGCGGGGTCGCCAGTTGCAAAAAGAGATTGACAGATTAAAGGAAAGAGGAACCTCTTATAAACTACAGATAGAAAAAGTAAGTAAAAAATAAAATCCATTCAATTCTATTAATTATGAATTGATGATGTTATTATTACTATGACACAGTGTCTTTTAAATGCATTGAAAATAATATCCTTCTTATACTGTATGTGTAGCTAAAAGAGGAGGTAGCTGATCTATATGAGAAATACCGTTTTGAGGCTGATGCAAGGTAAAGCACAGCTATGTACTTGGTGATGTTATTCAAATTGTTCCATTTTCATAGGAAACTTCTGATTGCAGACTACAATGAGTTGAAAATTAGCGGACAAAACGATGATCAACAAGATGAAGAAGTAGTCATAGAAAAGGAAGACCCGGTTATTTTGAAATTGAAACTAGTGTATGTAAAAATGCTTCATACAATAATGTAATATTTTTGTATAAAGACGTGCCAAGGAGGAACTTCATATTGCCAAAAAGCACCTTAATGAAGTAATGGCTGATTATGGTGGTGATGTTGTTCCAAAGGAAGAATATGAATTGATTGAAAGTTCCTACAGAGTAAGATAATGATTATTTGCAATGATGTATGTGTGTACATGTACATTTTATATTGTAGAAGGCAGAGAGTGAGCTTGATACAAAGAAGGCTCAATGTGCTAGTGCAATCGAAGAATATAAGTAAGCACTAGAGAGAGGACAACGGGACACGACTTAATATTATTTTAAACTTTTTCTTTGATGTTATTGTTAATGATCAAATGCTGGGAAGCTTCAAAGAAATACCACAACTTGTCAACTATGCCTCCATGTTTAAACATCAAAGGAGGTGTTTATTCGTTATTTCTTCTAGTTCTTCTACTATGCACACTTGCAATTGACCAATGAAATTGCAGTATTGTGGGTCATATTAACCTAATCTAGCTCATTAAATTAAATGGTACTACGCCCTATAATCAGTCCCGATTCTTCACTTGCCTACCCTGTTACTGTTAAGTATGTTGTGAGTGTGTCAACTGTGGTCTTTTTATCAGCAGCTGGTAGTTGTTTTTCAAATGCCGTGGTAGAAGTATACGTTATACACCTCAGTATCTGTTTCTATGGCATTTATTAACCTCAAACTTGACAAATGGACTAATAAGAGCATAAGCGTAGAGCACCAAACTGCCAATCAATTAATTATTTAACGAGATAGATTTATATTTTTACGAGCTAGGTTAATATGAAAAATAATTGACCTCCAATACTGCAATCTGATTGGTCAATCACAAGGTGGCATGGTAGAATTATAGACAATATGCATAGAGCACTGTTTAATTTAATGAGCTAGGTTTATAATTTTGTATAATCTATACTCTTATGCTCATGATTATAGTTTGTTGTTGATCATGTATAAAGAGTTGGAAAGGAGGGGTAAGTCAATGGAAGAGCTGGAACGAATCAAACAGTCTGCTACACCAAGGTCCAGAGAAGTGGGCAGAGATAAGTGATGGTTGCTCTAGTGATGAACTGGTTGATGTCCTGTTAGCACAACTTGCCGGAGTAGATATTAACGATATGCTGAAACGTGAACCATTCCATGGACAGGTAGTGATAGAACAATTTGTCTTTATAATGATCATTATGCTGTATAATTTGTATCTTATTATGCTGCATAGATGAAAAATGGTACATGTATTTGTATAGGGTACTAGCGAGAGTGTCCCTAAATACCTCCAGTGGGAAGGAGAGGTTATCAATAAACGCATCAAGAGAGCCGAGTTGGAGGACATGTTGTCAGGATTCGGGGAGCACTGGCTATTAAAGATATCAAAAGGGGATGCCACCACCAATGACAGCCTTGACGAAGTGCTGTATCAATATCTGCTGGCACGCAATGAAGGAGTGGTGTATAGTGCTATAGAGAATGGGTACAATTTAAAGGATGCCTGTGATAGGTTTCAGCATTTACTCCATGT